GTTTTGAACTCGGCTATTTCAACCAAGTTAATAATTTGACCTTTTGGGTACCAGTAGAAACTTCTTCTTCTTCTTTTTTTTTTTTTTTTCCGGTGAACCAGTAGAAACTTTGAAAAACTAAAAGAATACGTAGCAATGTTTACCTTCTGTAAAATCCCTTCATTCTGTCATTCAAAATTCCATCAAACTGAATAGTCAAAACACCCAACCCAATCGGTAGCGCGTCTGGAAACTCCAATACCAAAATCTCGTCTTGTTCAAACAGCTCGACTCTTGAAGGCTTGAAAACCTGCATAGACATCCACTCATTCTACATCATCAATAGTCAATATAATCGTCTAAAAACATAGATGCGAGAATTTCGAAGTTATCAATCAAACCCCTGAATTAGCTCAAAAAACAGATAAAATAAACCAACAAACAATTCTTATTATAGAAAGATCAATTACATCCATTTGTCTACTACAAAATGCTCGAAGTGGGGAAGGCAAACTTAACCTTCTAACAAGTTGCGATTAGCAAAATTTACTGCAACTACTACGTTCGTTCGTGCGTCCACATTCTCGTGAGAGAGCAACGAATCAGAAACAATGGATCAGATCATTTTTTGTAAAATTTGGCTCTATTCATCTTACGGCAGTCCCAATGCATGAGAAAAGTTTCGACAACCTAGAGTCTTAAAATTGGAGTATCAAGAGCTCAACAACAGTAACAACAATAAGCTTATCCCACTAGGTAGAGAATCAGAAGCTCCGGCCCGGGGGGGGGGGTGTGAGGACATTAAAAAGCTATCGAACAGGCAATACCCGCCCATCGACCAATATAGAATGAACTATGAGTCAAAAGAAACACCAATCTTATAAAACTTCCAGCACCATGCTTGGCCCTCCGAAAGTCCTGTACAAATTTTCTTCTACGATGAACATAGTCTTTGCACGAATTACACTCTAAAATAAAAGCTGCCATCACAAGCAACCCTTCTCATCCAAGTTGGAAAAGGGAAAAGTGGACTCCATACCTTAGAAGAATCTCGGTTCGTAAAGGATGCGGCATCATCGCTGACAGAGAGCTCAGCGGCATTAAGAACGATGTAACTGGTAGGGGCGACGATGTCAAGGTCAATGGCGACGGAACCAGAGAAGCAGCAAGCGACGAGGTCGGGTTGAAGCCTTACATCGTATCGCTTGGGAACAGCGAATTTGGGGAGACGAGGCTGGCCTTTGAACTGATCCATTCCTTCAGCCGGCTGGTGACTGACAAAAGAGCAAGGTATTTACTTTGCGTTCTGGTGACAGACCTCTAGTAAAGGACCCCAATTTATACAAGTCCGAGGATCGGTTGTGTTTTTTTTTTTGGCCCCTGACGTGGGATTTTTAAATGGAATAATATCACGGTAAAAAAAACCGAACCGGACCAGAAGGTTTAATTGAAAAACCGGTAAATTGGTGTCCAATCTAATTAGGTTCACTTGTTGGACCGGTAATAGAATAAACCGGTGACAAACCGGTTTAACCAGTAAAAACTGATGTTACACTGGGTAACTGTTGATTGGGATGGATTACCCAATTTAAACTTTTTTACCTTTTAAAAATGTACAAACTAGGAAAAAAGAGAAGAGAGTTTGCTAGGGAACAAAAAAAGAAGGGAAAGGAAGAGAAAAAATAAAGAGAGATATACTGAACAAACCTTATTATAAGAGAACTCCTGAATATGCTGAAAAATGAAGCGAAGAAGCATTTTAGCTTAGAAACTAAAAATCCAAGAAAAATAAGAAGATGATTCAACATTCCAGGCTTCACCATAAAGAATAATTTGCTGTTGAAGCTGTGCAAGGGAAAAAACTGAGAGAGAGAGAGAGAGAGTGGGAGGAGAAATTAGACGATTAGAAGACAAGAAGGAAGATACTGAGATGAAAAAAATTTAACTGTAAAAGAGAAATGGGGAACCGTGATGTGTGTTTTAAGAGTATTGTGCTTCCTGCCTGTTCGTTGTTCAAATAAGAAAGGGGCAAGGTGCTATGAGTGTTGTGAAGGGAAAAATAAAGAGTGGTCACGTGGGAGAGAGAAGGAAAAAAAAGAGAGAAGCAAGAGTAGAAAATTTAAAAAAGAGAGAGAGAGAGAGATATTTTAACATAGTGCATCGGATTTTTGTCTCAAACATCTAAAAATAACATAAAAAAATTAACATTTAAAATAGATACATATTTAAGTAATGTTAATTGGTAGAATTAAATATGAATGATTACTGATTATTATTTATAAATGTTATTATCAATTAAATTATATTATTTTAATATGACCGATCTGATTCTGATTAGATCCCGATCTGACCTACTGACTCTTAACTCAATGTTTCAATCGGTTTAGTGAGCTTTCGATTTTTTGTTGCTTGAATAATACGCCTGTCATATTGGGAGACAGACCACGAATGACTTTTGGGATAAGAAGAATAATGACTATAGGCATCCGAAACCTTAGAGATAACAATTAAGGAATCTCCTGTTGATATTGATATTTAAGCGGGGAAGAAAAATCAATTAACAATGATATGATGACCTTTATAACTTGTTTGATTTTATTTTTTGACTTCATTTTGTAAAAATAATTTTATAAGTTGTTTTTAAAAAATGAAAAAAATCTATTGAACTGAAGAAAATTGTATGGAGTAAGTTGTAACTTGTAAATGCTTAAAAACTAAATACTCACAAATTAATTTAAAAAAGGTCTTAATTGACTTGATTTTTATGATTTTCAATTTAACTTATAACTTCTCACCGAAAATTTTAACTTATAACTTTTTCCGGAATAAATTTTATAATTTCAAACCTACACATGAATAGAGGCATCTTTTTAACATCTTCGAATGCAAGTAAAGAATCGATGCTTCTTTATCCAGGAAAAAAAAAAAAGAATCGATGTTTTTATTAATATTATAGAATCTTGAAGTCCTAGAATAGTAGAATGCCTCTATTTTCTTCATTTGATCCTGAAGTTTCATATTCCTTCCCCCGCCCGATGAAAGGTGCCGGTAAAAGTAAAAGTGTAAAACATGCGTATTGGCTGTGATTAATGTTCTGTCTGTAATAGTGAATTATTCCTTCCCCAACTATCAAATCTCAACCCTTTTTTTTTTGGGGAATGAAAAGTAATTCAATTCACGAATAACAAATAAAGTAAAATTCTAATAAGAATTAATCTAATTAATAATAAGTTAATTTATACTGTATAAAATTACGAGTTTAAATTTTATTATTAATGTGAAAATTTAAGGGAAAATTAGGGAGAAGGACCTAAAAAAATTAGTATTTATTAAGAGGGATCTTAAAAATTGTAATTAATTTGAAAGACCAAAAATTAAAATAAAATTTTACAATTACCAAATTATCCCTTTATCAAATCCCTGCATTATCTCCAACACCCTCCTATCTCAATTTGACAGTTAATTATTAATTAAACTTGATCTCTCTCTCTCTCTCTCTTTGATGCACCCAAAATTTTTATTAATAGCAATTGTCTTTTTGTAAATCTAGAACAAAGAAGACAAATTAAAAGGAATCAACTAGCAGACTATTTATTGGACGGTATGTATATTCTGAACATTATTTTCCCTCCTGTAGTTATTTGTACCAAATGTTTTCTAATTTTCTCATCGTCTCTATATAAAGACTTTTTGGATGAATATAGAAGTATATATTTGTACCTTCATTTAATCCCAACTATACATACATATGAACACAATCACACTACCTATACAAAGCTTTTTAGATGAATATAAATATAGTTCTTTGTGTTAACCAAAATATGAAAATCAAGTAAATAGTACCTCTTCGTAATCTAAGTTTCACTAATAATTTTTCCAACCACATCGGAACGAGGGGCAAAATCGCAGTTGCGCAAGCTGGAAATTTTTCCAACCACATTGGAATGAAAGGCTAGGACATGCAGATATGAATGACTGAAAAATAAGACTCTATTTTTTGTTAATTGCTGTATTTAGTTTTTAATTTTAATGAGGGGTAATTTAGTAATTATAAATTTATATTTCAATTGATAACTAATAGTCAAATATTGAGATGGGTCTTGGAGATAATGTAGCGATTTGGCTAAAGATAATTTCGTAATTGTAAATTCATATTTAAATTTTTGGTCCTTCAAATTAATTACAATTTTTAAGATCCCTCTCCATAAATACCAATTTTTTTAGGTCCTTCTCCTCAATTTTCCCAAAATTTTATTGATGAGGAATTTATTAATATCTATATAAAACTTTATGAGTTTAAAAAATATACTCTCATGTTGACGTGTCTTGAAACTCAGCTCACTTGAACTATTTTTTCAAACAAAAAAAAAAAATCGTCCATCAAGAAAGCCGGACTAATCAAAAAGCTGCCAGGCTTCATCGAATCTCATTTTTTTAATGACCTTGATGAAATAGTTCTATTTATTCCTAATAAAATATGTGAGAAAGTGTATTATTATCTTTTTAATATTTTTTTATTATTTTAAAATATTCTGAACTCAATCAGCAATATATATATTATATTATATATTGAATATAATTATTTCATTATATTAAAACTCATTTACAATTTTATTCTCATTTACCTTTTTTCTTTTATAAAAAAATTTAAAAAAAAAAGCTTACAAAATTCTCACATTTTTTTTGTGTGGCGAAGACAAAATTCTGACACTTGCATTCACATTTTTGCTGTAAAAAAATTATTTCATTAACCAGCCAGCAGCCAAGGGGTACTACAGTTGTCTGATCAAATTTTCTTTTGATCCATTTATTATCGTTATATTAAAAAAAATTATATTATGCGTTGCAGCACCCAAAAACAAAAACTGCAGCTAACATAAGGGTGTTTAGTAATCCAAAAAGTGTTTTTTTTTTTTTATAAATTGAGGTAAACTGTTTTACCTATTTATTTTATATACATAAAAATATTTTTAAAATCGTGATTTTTTTGTTTTCCCCTGCCCAAACACCTCATAGACGCCGTAAATGTTCGGTGGCTCCCAGGCTGAAGGGCGGGCGCTTCAACGCTGAAGATAGGTTTAGCCTTCTCGTTGATTCGGCCGATCGGGCGTAACACGGGTCACTGTAGAAGGAGTAACTGTGCTGTCAGCTCTATGAGACAGAAGAGAGGCTCTTCGTCTTCCACCTCTCCATGCGCCTCCCTTCGAGATGCATACCACAATTGCTTCAACAGGTTTCAATTATATGTTATTCTGGTTGGGTTTCATCATCTCAACCAAAAATTATTTCTTCAATGTTTTACTTCATGCCCCTACCTGGTTCTGTTCTTCGTCTCTCTTTAATGTTAGATTTTTCTCAGGAAGGTGGTACGCTGAGAAATTCATGAAGGGTCAGTGGGACAAAGAGGAATGTCTTTCGGAGTGGGAAAAGTACAGAGCTTGCCTTTCTGTAGGATCCATGACCATGCTTAGAAGTTTAAGCTTTTCATTATTTCGTCTATCTGAGCAACGTTTCTTTTCTTTTTTTGGATGTTGACAGCGACATTTGGAAGATAAACATCTGAGTCGCTTCTTAGAAGCTGAGGGCGTTGTCAGTTCCACAGCTCAGGACGATTTGGGAGAAGGTGCTGCATCTGGTGCATCTCAATAACGTATGCTCGATTCGAATAGAAATTATCCAAGATAACTTGCAGGATCATCATGCCCCTTGTTTTTTCAATTTTATCGATGTTTAATTATATGCTCATCCTGGAATCCAGCATTTATTGGAATGTACAAACTAGGAAGGAGCTACGCTCTCTAAAATCTTTCTTTATTTGTGCTTCAAACTTACTTGATGAAGGGTCTATAATATATTACAACTGTGTTTTTGAAGTATCCTGCCTTGTTGGGGAAAACTAACATCCCTATATAAAAAGTGCAGAACATTTGCCTGAGTTCATTGGCTGGTGAAGTGATTTTTTTGAGCAACCAGGCCTAACTCTTCATATAAATTGGAGAAATCCTCGCAGCAGCTCATAAGTTTAACAGTAGGGTGTTTTAGTGACTACGATGCAGATGGCACTTGCTTTTCTCCTACATGATTCACTGGCCGCGAACCGCAACACCCCCAGAACACACCGCCCCCCCCCCCCCCAAAAAAAAAAATCCCAAAAAAACAACACGGACGCACAAAAATGGTTGCCATTCTGTACAGGATGACCTCAAGTTCAGCCCCGTGAACATTCTATGACATGAATACCGACAAATAGTCACTAAAACGCTTTTTATATCCGGTTATGGCATGAGTTCATTGCCTTAATCTCCTATGAGTAATACATGGGCAATTTATACATGTTAAATCTGAATCAAACATGTAAGAGGGGCAAGACGTTCCTTTCATTTGGTCATACAATTTAAACAAACTGGAACCCGTTGTTTTTGTTGACAACATGTTCCGTATTGTATCTCTTGGAATTTTGTCTCCAAAATGCTGTGTGGATTCAAAGGGGCGATTGGCACCTCAGCTCAACGCCTTAGGTGCCGAGGCTTGCACCTTTGACCGCACTATCTGGATTATTATTCAACTGAGGGAAGAAAATATTGTGTTCCTAACTAGCGTTTTAACGAGCTTCTCAACAAAATGGTAGGCTTCTTAGGGAGTTCCTAATTCTGAATTTGTGATTCTCATGCAGGTGAGTCGAGGATTGGAGGTGGGACGTGAAGTGTGAATGATGTATTTTATATTCCCGCTGCCCCTCTATTAGGTCTTTGTTTGGAATACTGCAATTCCAGGAGATTTTGTCTTTGATGATTTTAAACCATGGTCTACTTCAGAGGAAAAGGAAATGATGATGGTGGATTCACAACGAAGTTGTATGAAAGTTTGGATTATGGATGGGAAAAAAATATGCTTCGAAGTTTTTAGAATCATACAAGTCTTTCCCTCTTTCTGTTTCATTTTTGGATGAATATTAGAATATTATGTCAAAACGTCTTTGGACAAAAGGAAAATGAACACTGATGATAGCTTTAATGGCATAATATGAAAGGTTTCTAATTTTCTATAACCAAAATGATAAGTCGCACGTGCTCCTTTTTAAGGTCTTGCAGCCACGAGATTGCATATAAATGGGAACCAAAATGCACCGTCTGAATCCATGAAGGTACGGTCATCAGAATATGCATCTTTGGTTGGAATCTTCATGCCCAGGTGGACGGAAGGAAAATTTGATTTCTGGTTAAGTTCATTTCTTCTTAAATAGGAAATGTGCAACCATCCATTCTTCACCATTATTGTAGCCAAATAGTTCTGCTACGGCTATGAAGAACGTTCTCCAATAGACAGTCCACTTAACAGCTGACTCCTTGCCATATGTTGACTCCATAATCGGCTTGATGGAAGTCAAGTTTTGGTCCATTCTTTTGAGCCATTCTTCGCTGCAAGATAAATTTATTTTTGCTTCAGGAGTACCGTAAACTAAAAACTTACCCTTAATTTAAGGATGCAATATGATTCGGAGTTGCTGTAAATTTGAACCATTCAGTTTATTCTTACCTCGTCTGTGCATAGTGTTTACCGTTGACAAGCCAATGGTTGACAACAGTAACATCATCCTACAGACACAAACGAAAAAGCTACCCTTATATGAGTTAAACTCAGGATGCACTATAAAATTGAAATATAATTATTCTGGGGGTGCTTATGTTAATTCCTCAGAGAACTACTGGGAAATTGACTTTAAAAAAGAAGAAGAAGGAAAGTAGCAGTTTGGTTAGATCCTGTGTTTTCATTCACAAAGCCAGCGCAAGTTGCATATCGGAAACTTACCTGGAAATAAAGGAGGAGATTTGCGGAAGGCATTGTTCCTCCAGTAAAGAAATACCTAGTAATCCAGTCATCTTCATTTTTGTCCTGTTTATCAGTCAAGGAGTCTGAAGGTTAACGAATTTATTGGGACTTTACAAGCCTCTTCCATATCTCAAGCAGTGTGCAGAAAGGCGGAATCCCAAAAAGGCTAAGTTGTTTAACATGAAATAAATTTCACCTCAAAATGATAAGCAAATGCCTTATGGCAGAAATGATGGAGAAACAGAAGGCCATCTTCCTTCAGCCAACCGGCTATTTTCTTGAGAAGATCTTTATAATTCTTCATATGCTGTGTCAAGAAAGCATGAAACAAGCTTACCAACACACACAAAATTAAATAAAAACACGCCTTCATATAGATTATCTGCATGACATGAAGCACAAAATCGAACCTCAAACATTTCTATGGAAAATATTCTGTCATAAGAAGCATCCATTTCGAATGTGCTAATATCTGCAACAATGATCTCCACATTTTGCAGCATAAGATCCCTGAAAAGGGCACAGGGAAAATAATTCAGATCATCACATGGTGTTGAATTTGCAAAGGCACCAATCTAGCAGCATACCTACACTTCTCCTCTATATACGCTTTCTGGGTTGTCGAGTTGCAGATTCCTGTAACTCTGGAATTACTGTACTTCTTGGCGATGTATATGCACAGCGATCCCCAGCCACATCCAACGTCTAGGACGGTATGACCATCTTTTATGCGTGATCTCTCGCAGTATAGTTCCAACATTGCTTCTTCAGCATCGTCCAGTGTGTTTGACGCAGAAGAAAAGTAACAAGAACTGCAAGAGTTCATTCATTTAGGCACGTTTTCAACCTTGACCCTCTGTTTCGGGCACATTTGCTTGAGCACAAACACGTTGATAATTTGTATTATGATGACGAGTTACACCTCGTGTACATTTATATTTCTGGAGTTTTTTCTGCATATACATACTTGAATAAATAGAGTAAACTACTTGATTACGGATAATCGAATAAGCTATATAACAAGGTTTTCCTGTCGATCATGTTATCGTTCCTTTATGAGAAATCGACCGAAAAAGACATTTCATAAGCTAATTAACCTAAAAGATGAAAAGATACGGGGTTAAAATGAATTATTACGTTGTCAAAGAGAAAAGGAAAAAGAAATGCATCAAAATAATACCTGTATTTGAGATTCTTGCCCAGCACCAACTTGAAGAAAGAGGTCGGTAATTCATAATGCTGAACTTTTGGTTTATCAGTTTCGATGGCGATAGGCATCTCCCTCAAAGCTGCAAGATAAACATAGTTAGGGTCATCTTCAAACAATATATAGTAGCACCAAGCCAAGTTCTCGAACAAAAATTGCTCAATTAATTGTTAGCACTCCTTTTGCCGACATATAGTCGTTATCAGTAGTTCTTAATTTTCTCGACTTAGCAATATCTCCATCTGTAGTACTTAATAGATCTCACAGCACTTGTAATGTGAAATTTTTAGGTGGTATCACAATTGCAGCTTCTAAGTGTAAAGGCTCACCAGCCGACACCCACGTCTTTGCTTATATCAGTAGATAATGCGCAGAAAAAGGCACAAGTGAAAGGCAAGACAGAAGAGAACCAAGAACTAAGAACAGAAATAGAGAAAGGAAGAGAAAATGGTATTACAGTGTACAAAATGGAGGAGATCGGAGAGTTGAGGTTGAGAGGAGGCTTTATAGCCGGAGCGAAGGCGAGATGCTAAAAGCAGACGAGTGAGCCTCCTGACGACAACGTCAGGGAGCAAATTCCGCTCCAAAGAGCGTGACATAATCTTCACGGTAGTGTCGTAAGATAGCCGTAAAATTGCTTCCATAGGAGCTCACCGGATTCCCGCTCTTCTCCCCGGACTCTCTGAGAAGATGGCGATTCTTATCTTGAATTCACGTGCTCGTTCTGTACTTGTGTCGTTCCCTGTGTTCGGTTTCCTTTCTAGTTCTAGACTTCCAAATAATTTGGCCAATGGCATGCGTCGCAAAAGAACGCAGCCAGTTTTATTTTAACCATTTAAATTTAATATGAATGATCAAAAAATTAATTTTTTTTATATTTTTAATTTTTTAAAAATATTTTTTAATACATAGATAATCCAAAATCAGTGTAACTTTTTAATTATAAGTTTTTTAAAAAATAATTTTTATTTAAAAATTATTAATTAAAAATTTTAAATCTAAATTTTTACAACTGTATTTGTATTTGAATGGTGTAGTTAATCATTAACATGATGAATATAGAAACTAGTTTGTATTTACGAACTCTAATCCCCTCTATTTCTTTTTTTAAACTTATAATTATACTGTGCGTTGTAGTTCGTGGCACGTGACAGGTACCACCTTGATCTGAGCTATTTTGCATAGAAGGTTACATGTTTTTCATAAATAAGCTCTATGGATAAAATTATCTTTTGTGTTTTCTCATTGAAAAATAATATTAAATTCATTACTATTAAATAATAATAATATGATTTCTATAACAGATAATAACATCTCGATCCTTATTTATTTTGGGGGGGGGGGTGGTGTTTCCTTTCTTATTTGCTCCATTTGTCTCCAGCAACATTAGCAAATTTTTAATCACTGATTTGATTTCATGACAGATGTGTTATAACTATTTACAACCTACAAACAGATATATTTCTATAGGATTGTTTTATCTTTCACCATCAACAGTAAAACCTTATGCCAATATAAAAGGGGTGGGCTGTATAGATAGTACGATATTATATTTTGTGAATGGTTTTAGATATGTTTAATACATAGTCTACTTCAGAGGAAAAGGAGATGATGATGGAGGATGCACAAGGAAGTTCTATGAAATTAAGTTTGGATTATGGATGGGAAAAAAAATATGCTTCGAAGTTTTTAAAATCATACAAGTCTTTCCCTCTTTCTGTATTATTTTTGGATGAATACTAGAATATTATGTCACAACGTCTTTGGGCAAAAGGAAAATGAACACTGACGATAGCTTTAATGGCATAATATGAAAGGTTTCTATAACCAAAATGATGAGTCGCACGTGCTCCTTTTTAAGGTCTTGCAGTCACGAGATTGCATATAAATGGGAACCAAAATGCACCGTCTGAATCCATGAAGGTACGGTCATCAGAATATGCATCTTTGGTTAGAATCCTCATGCCCAGGTGGACGGAAGGAAAATTTGATTTCTGGTTAAGTTCATTTCTTCTTAAATAGGAAATGTGCAATCATCCATTCTTCACCGTTATTGTAGCCAAATAGTTCTGCTACGGCTATGAAGAACGTTCTCCAATAGACAGTCCACTTAGCAGCTGACTCCTTGCCATATGTCGACTCCATAATCGGCTTGATGGTAGTCATGTTTTGGTCCATTCTTTTGAGCCATTCTTCGCTGCAAGATAAATTTATCTTTGCTTCAGGAGTACCGTAAACTAAAACCTTACCTTTAATTTAAGGATTTAATGTGATTCGGAATCGCTGTAAAATTTTAGAGCCATTCAGTTTATTCTTACCTCGTCCCTGCATAGTGTTTACCGTTGACAAGCCAATGGTTAACAACAGTAACATCATCCTACAGACACCAACGAAGAAGTTACTTCTACGTGAGTTAAACTCAGGATGCAATATAAAAATTGAAATATAATTATTTTGGAGGCGCTTATGTTAATTCCCCAGAGAACTAATGGGAAATTGATTTCAATTCATTAAAAAAAACAAAAAACACTAAAAGGAAGTAGTTTGGCGGGATTCTGCGATTTCATTGACAAGGCTAGCGCGAGTTGCATATACTAAGCTTACCTGGAAATAAAGGAGGAGATTTGCGGAAGGCATTGTTCCTCCAGTAAAGAAATACCTAGTAATCCAGTCATCTTCATATTTGTCCTGTTTATCGGCCAAGAAGTCTAAAGGTCAACGAATGATCTCATTGGAACTTTACAGGTCTTGTCTATATATCAAGCAGTGTCCAGAAAGGCGGAAACCAAAAGAGGCTAAGTTATTTAACATGAAATAAATTTCACCTCAAAATGATAAGCAAATGCTTTATGGCAGAAGTGATGCAGAAACAGAAGGCCATCTTCCTTCAGCCAACCGGCTATTTTCCTGAGAAGATCTTTATAATTCTTCATATGCTATATCATGAGACAAGTCTATCAACACGTGAAAACAAATTAAAATAAAGCACGCCTTCATATAGATTATCTGCATGACATGAAGCACAAAATCGAACCTCAAACATTCCTATGGAAAATACTCTGTCATAGGAAGCATCCATTTCGAATGTGCTAATATCTGCGACAACGATCTCCACATTTTGCAGCATAAGATCCCTGAAAAGAGCACAGGGAAAATAAGTCGGGTCATCATATGCGGTTTAATTTGCAAAACGCTGGTACCAATCTAGCAGCGTACCTACACTTCTCCTCTACATACGCTTTCTGGGTTGTGGAGTAGGAGATCCCTGTAACTCTGGAATTACTGTACTTCTTTGCAATGTATATGCACAGCGACCCCCAGCCACATCCAATGTCGAGGACGGTATGACCATCTTTCATGCGTGATCTCTCACAGTATAGTTCTAACATTGCTTCTTCAGCATCGTCCAGTGTCATTGACGCAGAAACAAGAACTGCAAGAGTGCATTCATTTAGTCACGTCTCCAACCTTGACCCTCTGTTTTGGGCACATTAGTTTGAGCACAAACTTACACCTTACTAATTTGTATAATGATGATGGGTTACATCTCGTGTACATTTACACTTCTTGAGTTTTTTCTGCGTATACTTACTTGAATAAATGCAGTAAAGTGCTTGATTACGGATGATCGAGCAAGCTATATAACAAGGTTTACCTGTATTTGAGATTCCTGCCGAGCACCAGCTTGAAGAAAGAGGTCGGTAATTCATAATGCTGAACTTTCGGTTTATCAGTTTCGATGGCGATAGGCATCTCCCTCAAAGCTGCAAGATAAACACAGTTAGGGTCATCTTCAAACAATATATAGTAGCACCAAGCCAAGTTCTCGAACAAAAATTGCCAAATTAATTGTCAGCACTCCATTTGCAGAGATATAGTCGTTATCAGTAGCAACACTTGTAATGTGAAATTTTTAGGTGGTATTACAATTGCAGCTTCTAAATGTAAAGGCTCACCAGCCTAAACCCACGTCTTTGCTTATATCAACAGATAATGCGCAGAAAAAGGCACAAGGCAAGACAAAAGAGAACCAAAACTAAGAACAGAAAATAGAGAAAGTAAGAGAAAATGGTGTTACAGTGTACAAAATGAAGGAGATGGGAGAGTTGAAGTTGAGAGGAGGTCTTATAGCCGGAGCGAAGGCGAGATGCTACAAGCAAACGAGTGAGCCTCCTGACGACAACGTCAGGGAGCAAATTCCGCTGCGAAGAGCGTGACATAATCTTCACGGTAGTGTCGTAAGATAGCTATAAAATTGCTTCCATCGGAGTGCATCACTAGATTCCCGCTCCTCTCTCTGGACTCTTTTGAGAAGACGACGATTCTTATCTTGAATTCATATGCTTGTTCTGTACTTCTGTCATGCTGTGAGTTCTGTTTCTTTCTGTTCTAGGCTTGAAAACAAACCAGTTGTTATCAGCAGTTCAGCACTTGTTAATAAATTTTTTAACATAAGATTATTTTAGTTATTTAACTATGTTTGGAAAATATCACATTAGGTACCACTTAGTCCTCTATTATTTTTAATTTTTAAGTATTTGAATTGGAAAATGATAATTTCAGAATTCTTTTTCTAAAATTTTTCCTAGATAAAATTATATTTTGTGTTTTTTCATTGAAAAGCAATACTTAAGTCATTACTGTTAAATAATAATATAATGTCTATGACTGATAATGACATCTTAATCCTTATTTATGGGGGTGGCGGGACTTCATTTCTTATTAACTCCATTTGTCTCTAGCAAATTTTTAATCATTGATTTAATTTCATAACATATGTTATCGCCATTTACTCCTCCGGTCCTTAATATAGGACTCAATTGTTGAGTTAGTTTTTTGTCCTAAATAAAGACCCATTTCTCATATTTATCAATTTTCTCTCAATTATCCTTATGGATACTCCATCAACCATAATCAAGTAGAAGAGGAAGAAGGGTATTAAGAAAGATGATTATGGTATTTTAGAAAAAAACATGTCACATTTTTTATAATTAACTAATTTGTCTAACTTCCTTAATTTAATCAAATTAGTTAAATGAGTCTTATATTAAGAACCGAAAGAGTATTATATAATTAATCCAAAAGTCAGAAATTTACGACCTATAAATAGATATATTTGCGAACGATTCTTTTATCCTACATTTCACGGTTTTGCATTATACAATAACAACAGAGCTCTATGTATGGGCAGGTGGGGTACATACATAGCACTCCTCCGATTCTTAATATAGGACTCGATTCTTGAGTTGGTTTTGGTTCTAAATATAAGACCCATTTCTTATATTTATCAATTTTTTCTAAATTACTCTTATGAATACTCTCTCAGTCATAATCAAGTAGAAGATGGAGAGGGATATTAAGAAAAATGATTATGATATTTTAAAAAAATGTGCCACTTTTCTTATAATTAACTAACTTACATAATTTTTTTAATCTAATCAATTAGTTAAATAGGTCTTATATTAAGGACCAGAGGAGTATAATGTTATTATAATCTAACAACGAACTCTTTTGGATATTTTTTTAAAAATAATTATTTAAACAGGTTTTTTTTTGGGGGGGGTATCTTTTCGTATTTCACGACTTGTTCTATAAAGGGGCTTCAATTTCAGCTCTCGTAGAGGTTGAGGGATTGCTCCTTGAACTTCTCCAATGGCGTTAGCCTCTGCTGGTATTGTGGGGCTGCAGTCTGCACAGTGCAACGACAAGCTGCCCAAAAGTGTATAAACCGAAGGTTTATGTATTGGAAGAACATGAAATTTGAGATCCGACCAAATTTCAACTTGTTTTATATGAGAGATTAAGGAAATTGCTGTTTAAATATTACTACCTCCAATCTTAATTATAAGATTTCATTTATAATCTATAATTGAGGTCTTCTAATTAGAATAAGAGATGGTACTACTTATAAAGACAATTTGTGACCATGGCAGGGCACACAAATATGTTAACGCATGATTCGAATTTGGAATCTTATCCAAACGTGCACCAATGGGGCTGCAATATTATTATTATTATTTGGGCCAGGGCGTTGCAATTATTATTAGATATGAAAAATGACACGACCAAAGAGACAAAAATAGAAAAGAAACTGCAATTTTTGGGGAGAACCATGCATTTCGGTTTTCCATTTATTCATTCTTATTTACCCCGTCTTCCTGACAAGCGGACATTTTCCCATCCTCTTGGTTTGGGGCTTTGGGCTGCAAATAGAAGAAAATGTTTTTGACGTATATATTTCAAATGACATTCATTATCATGTCTGAGACTTCCTTCGCTGATGTTTAGTGCAAGTTGTTCATGCGTGGTTCGGAACTGATACTGTGTGATTCAATTTCATAGTTGCTACGACGGGAATCAACCATGCATCATCTTTGTAAAACTATATTTCAGCTAAATCAAAGGGATGGAAAGAAAGAAAGAAATTAAAGAAGTGATCGAGACCTACATTAATCTATTTCTATTCTTGCAGGACCTATGCCTCTCGTCCTTTTCCTTTTTTCGGAGATCTGACTTTGACAGAAAATGGATCTGCATATATCACAGAGTAAATGATTTCGTTTTCTCGCTATCGTAGAGGCTTTATTCATTGGAAATTACGTCTTCTGTTTCTTTGACTTCATGTTGGCAACCAAAGTCGAGCAGGCTAGAGGGTACTTTTCTTATTTAAGTATGGAAGTATCTCCCATATATATATATATGATCTGTACCACCCCCACCCAGAAGCCTTCTGATCCTCATAATCCTCAAAAGTGATGAGCTAATATTACAAGAACAATAACTGACGACTCTAACTCATGGCATCAGTGTCGAATGCCACGGAATACTACTTGATAAGATAACAACAGGCCATGCATGTCTAGACACGGTAGGCAACAAAACTGTGAAAACCTCTTGTAATGTTGGAGGCAGGCAGGTAGCTAGCTAAAGCTTAGGTGGGTGTGGACGCCTTCGTAGGTTGTTATGACATACCTCGGATCGTCTTTGTCTCTCTCAACTCTCTTTTTCACCGGGCATCCCTCCACCGAACACCTATAGTAATTCCTGCAATTAGTCACATTCTATAAGCATCAGCATGTTCCAGGCTAGCCAGTGTTAGTCTAGGTCTATGAGCACACATGAACAAAATCCAAAGTGAAAAGGATGAATTAAACTACTAAAGCGCCGTGAAGCTGGCATTCATCGTTCCTGCTCATCATCATCTTCATGTTTCTTGTTATTAATCCTATCATGCATACCTTTGTAACACTACCTCAGTACCAGATAGTTCGAAAATTAAATAGCATTACAGGCATGCGTGTACCTCGGGTTGGGGCTGTTCTTCACCATCTTCTTCCCATACTTTCTCCACTTGTACCCATCGTCCATTATCTCTACCTCTGACAGTGTTCTGAACGCAAATCTATCTCTGACGTTCCCCTCCCCACTGCTGCTAATGTCTCCTAAAAAACATGGCCAGATATTCTAATGAGCGCTCAGAATTAAGAATATAAAGCTTCACCGGATTATGGACTGTACATCACACAACGAGAACAACAAACTCCAATAAGTGAAGAATTTCGCTTACTACTGGAAGACCCCTCAGAAGGGTTGGCAGTGCTTCCTCCAAATCCACTTACTTCAATGCTTTGGTAGACGTGCTGATTCGGGACTTGTCCAGAAACTATCCTTAACTGATCAGGTTCCTCATCGTCATCCTCGAAGTTGAAGAATTCAGAGACCTCATCGAAAGGATTATGGCCTGTGAAATCGCTCTGGGGTGGATCTGGTGGTCTCGGAGGATTACTATCAGTCATTTTGGTGTGGCTGGGATGATGAAAACAAAGGCGTGAAGCAGCGGCGTGCTCACATTATTATATATAATCTCAAAATATATATACATACATATATAGGCACACAATTGAGAGAGGCGGCTTCATGGGACCTTCCGACGAACCATAAAAGGGAGCTTCAACGATAGTGGGAAGCTGAGATGCCACGTGGATAACATAAAAGTGACTTACCGTAAAGACGAATGAGATGGAGTGGAGGCGAAGTGAGGGAGGGGTACGCCGAGCTAAGGATGACTTGGAGAAGACTTTCAAGAGATGTGAATGAGATATTGAGGTCTCGTGGTTGGACTAAACCCTTCCCGACGGCGAAGTAAAAATGTTAAAAAAGTGATGGTGATTTTGAGCTACGTTACTTTCCTCGAACCTCGGCTCTTGAGTCCTATCATTATCATGCGTAACACCAGATATGACGTCCTCCTCTTTATATTTTTTCTGCGAAGTGGACGTTATAATGATGTGGCTTCTGTTCAAATTCTTAGCTTAATTTGTTTTTCTAGAATAATTTAATACGGCCTATGGGAGCATTACATGCATCTAGCAATAGGATTTTGACGATGCCCCACAAAGATTGATGGTATGTCTGGGAAAGCTTGTCTTCTCTTACAGAAAGAATCCACAATAAACCTGTTCCTGGTAAGGTTGTGCACGCGCGCGTTTTATATAAAAATTAATTAATTAATTTGAATATATTAAAATTTTTTATTAAGTTAGTTATTTATAATAAATAGGTGTTATTTTTTCTAAAATACTTTTACTAATATGTATTAACTAGAACTATTATTTGATGAAATTTTTAACATGTGTAACTATTAGAAAGATTGTTTTAAACAAATAAATAAATATAAAAAAAAAAGTAAATTTGTGCCTAGAAAGAATTTTAAAAAAAATAAATAAATATAAAAATTAAAGTAAAATTGTGTCTTATATATTTAGAATTAAATTAAAAATTAAATTAGGCTTTATATTAAGAATTAAAGGTAGTGCCAAAAAATAGTATCCAGAACGAATGAGCGGGAATTCAAAACCACAAGCGTGGGGTTGACTCTGGTAGGGTTGACGGGACTTGGCTATTTGCGCAGATAATGCTAGTTAGGACGGGAACAGCAAATAAAAGAAGAGATTATGGTCGTCAAGAAAGAATATGAAGTCCGAAGAGCCTTGCTCGGAAGCTCACGGGCATGTTCCAGGCCCTTTCCTTTTGATGTATGGCATTCGTAAGTCAGCTAATAGTGATTTAAACCAAAAAAATACCTACATCAATTTTTGATCATAATTATAAAAACTAATTGACTAATTTGAGCAGATTAAATAAATAAATTAAGTTAGTTATTTGTAATAAATAGGTATTGTCTTTCCTAAAATATCCTTACTTATCAAGTATATTAGGTAGAATCACTACTATTTGAAGGACTATCTTGAAAAAAATTTATAAATATGAGAGACAAAATAAATTAGGGTTTTATATTTAGAACCAAAATAAAAACAAACGAGGTCTTATATTATATCAAGTTTTCTAATTATACATAATGATGTATCTTATTTTTAAAATACTATCATTTAATAAATTTTTAATTATAAATTCACATGAAAAAAAATATAGTCATACGTAATTAAAGAACCTGATATAATAAATATAAGAAATTTGATTTAAATTTTTTAATTTCCCATGTCTTGATAGCGTCTGGCACCAGCGCTTAATAATCCTCGTCAAATTCAAGCATTCATTCCATCATTTCATTAACAAAAATCTATATACTCCTCCGGTCTTAATTATAAGACCCAATTGACTTATTTGAAGAGATTAAGGAAGTAAGTTAAGTTGGTTATTTATAATAAATAAGTGTTGTCATTCCTAAAATATCCTTGCTAATTAAGTATATTGGCTAAAACTATCATTATTAGAAGGATTATCTTGGAAAAAAATACATAAATATAAGAGACAAAATGGATTGGGTCTGACCAAATAAAAAGTCAAATTGGGTCTTATAATAAGGACCGGAGGAGTACATACATATGATGATTAAAGGTTATCTCAAAATCAAATATCAAGACGGTAACGTCAAAGCCATATATACTAACTCAACTCACCCTGCTTCCCCTGTTTTTTCCCCTAGGAAGTAACCTCGACCCATTAAATTTTTTTTGCCTGTGTTTCTAAAATATCCTCTAAATGTCTTTTTATTAAAATCATCATATTAAATTTCAAAAATTACTGAAATAAATTTTATATTTTTAAAAACTAATTCTTGAATTACCAATAAAAAGAAAACATGGAATTATTACTTCAGAAGGTCATTTTTATCATTTTCAATAGGATTCCAATAATGCCAACTCACTCCGTCGCCTTTCTTCATACGATCTCCATCTCAATATTTATATATTATCCGATCTTTAATATAAAAATTAATTAACTAATTTGAGTATATTAAAAAAATTAATTAGATTAGTTATTTATGATGAATATACGTTGTCTTTTCTAAAATATTTTTTACTAATCAAGTGTATTAGTTACAACAATTATTATTTCAAGAAGTGTCTTGAAAAAAATAAATAAATATAAGAGATAAAATGAATTAAAATCTTATATTTAAAATTAAAATAAAAATTAAACAAACTCTTATATTAGATACCGAGGTATAATATAAAATTTATAGAGACTGACATTGCATCTCCAAATCATAAACAACACCTCGAATTTTCAGGTAAAAAAAAAAAACTCCAATTTCGTATAATATACGGCGCAGAACCTAATTGTCTGGAATGTTGGAACGTGGGCTTCAAAAGGAATATGTAATACTCTTCCGGTCCTTATTATAAGACCCAATTTGACTTTTTATTTGGTCCTAATTATAGGACCCAATCCATTTTGTCTCTTATATTTATGCATTTTTTTCCAAGATAATCCTTCTAATAATGATAGTTTTAGCCAATATACTTAATTAGCAAGGATATTTTATGAATGACAACACTTATTTATTATAAATAACCAACTTAACTTGCTTCCTTAATCTCCTCAAATAAGTCAATTGGGTCTTATAATTAGGACCGGAGGAGTAACTTTTTATGAAAAACCAAACAAAGAGGCAAGCCATCCAATAATTTTTTCCCCCATTGATTCATTGTATTTTGTAGCGTGTTTTACGCTTCCATCTATTTTTTCACTCCAAAAAAAAAATCTTTATAGGAGTCTGTTTATATTATAATTTTTGGTCAGAAAAATTCTGCATAACTGTTTCGCATTGAATTGAACAATTTTAATTTCAGTTTGAGTGAACTTTTCGCATATTAAATCATTATCCAACTCAGTCTGATTCTAAATATAAGAGTTGGTTTATTAATTTGAATAAACTAAAAAAAACTAACTAAGTTGGTTATTTTTAATAAATTTGTGTTATTTTTTTAAAAATATCCTTACTGATCAAATATGTTAGTTAGAATTATCATTATTACAAATACTATCTTAAAAAATAAATAAATATGATAAATAAAGTGAATTTAAGTCTTATATTGAGAACTGAAATAAAGATTAAACAAATTTTTATATTAAAGATCAGAAATATTGTTATAATTTGATGGTCAACATGTAGATGGTTATTTTTTTTTTTTTTTAACCTGGGTCAACAAGTACATGGTTAAACAAAACTGTTTCTATAGGTTCCAGAAGTCTCTGCCATGCCTCGTTTTCAAATTAACATTTTTCATGAAAATTCATTATTATCCCATGAAAAACTGGATTACCGGCCAGCCAAGCTCTGACCAGCGGCTTTTGTTTTTGGCCTTGACCAGTGGCTTTTGTTAATTGCGACATTGTGATAAGATAATGACGCTGTCGTAGTGCTAAATTCTTTGACCTGCATTGCCAATATTTTCCCATCTTTCATCCCTCAAATTTGCATTTATTTTAATTTTGATTTATCGGATTTCAAATCATAAGTTTTGATCTCTCAAAAGGTAAAATTGTTCAAGTTTTTATTAGATTATGAGAACTAATAATTTATATAAAAAAATGACTAAAGCCTATGATTTGAAATTTGAAAGATCAAAACTAAAATGATAATAAATTTAAAAAACTGAAGTTTATATTAAACCTATTATTTTGTAACACTGTGCGGTGAACTGGGAAGGGATACATAACCTCAGACACACCCGCCAAAACACACGCAATCTCACAATCAAGAAGAGCGAAAGAATTCTGGCAAAAGGAAAGGGAAAAAAAAAAAACAGACAAAAAGAAAGTCCCCTGAACAAGGACAACAGATCTTTTACCTTCCAAGTCTTCAGTTTGCTACTATTACTACGTTCCTCCAGCAGCAAGAAAGATTAGTCAATCAAGCTACAATTTGTTACTCTATATTTTACAATACAATTTATACTAAAAAATAAATTTTCTATTTAGGACTGAAAGCTATTATTAAAATTTGTAGGGATTTTGATCCATGGATTTTTTTTAATACAAAAAAAGAAGAAGAAAAGAATAGAAGTTTGACTGGATTCCATACACTCGTACGACGTGATCATTCCAGTTGAAAATTGTATAACTTTTAATTTGTAAGGCATGTGACGTTTGCATTGAGGTCATCGAGCAATGATACCCACCTTCCTTCTTCACACATTAAAATGGTATATTTAACAAATTTTTCAGTCGTTAAAACTCTTTTTTTAACGACTTCAGCCTTGCGCCCTAAAGTCATGGCCAGCCGCGCCAAACTCTGAACAGACCAAAAAACCTGAAAATAATACCACCATTTTTCCGCTGGATTCCTGACAACTACCACCAATTTTTTGTCCCTCGGTTTTTTAATTAAGCTAGTCAATTAAATTAATTATTTTATTAAATAACTATTGTCTTTTCAAAAATAATTTTATCAATAATGTGCAACGGAGTCACCATTTCCTCAAACTTCTAACATATAAAAAGAATTATTTTAAGAGAAAATAGATAAACATAATAGATAAAATAAATTAAGCCTTATATTTGAGAACAAATTAAATCCCTAACTAAGTATAGTACAAGTATGATGCTTGTATGCATATATACCGTACGTTAATACTCCTCTGGTCTTTAATATATGACCCAATTCCTGAGTTGGTTTTGATCCTAAATATAAGACCAATTTCTCATATTTATCAATTTTTTGTAAATTACCCCTATAGATACTCCCTCAACCATAATTAAGTAGAAGAGGGAGGGGGAGTATTAAGAAAGATAACTATAGTGTTTTAAGAAAAATATGTCATTTTTCATATAATTAACTAACTTACCTAACTTTCTTAATATAATCAAATTAGTTAAATATGTCTTATATTAAGAACTTGAAGAGTATCAGTCATGTACTCCTGTTCTCGCCGTTAATGGAGCTAGGCTAGCTCTTGTGTCCGTTTTATTTTGCTGGGCATGTTAGCCAGATCTCAGCACGTAATAGGCAGATTTACATCACGGTCCATGATCATCTCGACGATCAGGCTACATACAACATCTTCGTATTATGAGAAATCGCTTCTTGACCTTTCTAAGGTTGTGTTTGGCATCCCATTTTGTGGCCTAAACGTACGTTTTCACAGATAAAAGCTATTTTTTTGGGTTTTGAAATTGTTTGGATTGACTTCTTTTTGTGATGAGCTTATGGGGTCTAATAAACTTTTGGACAGAAGCTACTCTTTTTTGCTTTTGGAGTGAGGGACGGTGGGGTGTGTAGGAGAAGAAAGAAAAGAGATGATGATATTAGACATGAACAATTTTTTGTTTTGACATTCACATGTTGTAAAAGTGGAACAATTAATTAGGGATAATATTTTTTTAGTAAATGCTGAACATAAATTATCGTAAAAGTAAATACTAACGTAAAATTGGAAGAAAAAAATAAAGCACCATGCTCTTTTTTCATTTATTTACTTAATGTTTATATTTAAAAAAAAATATATCTTTTTGTTTTTATTTTATTGCTTAGAACTTATTATTATAATATTACTTAATAAAATTTATGTTCTTTTCAGTTATTTTGTATCTAAACTTACTTTTTTATCATTCATCCAAACAAATTTCAGTTTTTCAAACCGATTTTTCTACAAAAGTTAATACAAACATAAATCACATTACCATTATCTAGTTTGACTTATGCAAAAGTCAGATTGAAAAAAAGTAATTTCTCCCACTACTTATCCAAACACACCCTAACTTGTCCGGCATAGTTTCAACAATTGTTTTTGTTGCCTAGAGTTAGCTTCAGTCTCAAATATGGAACTTCAATTTATTTGTCTAATACTTTTGTTTAAAATGTTACTATTGATTCTAAGAGATTCCTACTAAAAGACAATGTCAATAACCGAATATATATAATTATAATAATTTAAAAACATCAATACCCAATTCGAATTAGTTATCTATTTTTTATACTAAAAATACAAAAAAAGAAGTAGCACGTCCACTTTTCGAATTAACTTGTCCGGCATAGTATCAACAGTTGTTTTCGTTGCCTAGAGCTAGGTTCAGTTTCAAATATAGAACTTCAATTTATTTGTCTAATACTTTTGTTTAAAATGTTCCTTTTTTTTTTTGGCCAAACTTAAAATGTTCCTATTGACTCTAAGAGATTCCTACTAAAAGATAATGTCAATAACCAAATATATATAATTAGAATAATTTAAAAAGATAATACCCAATTCGAATTAGTTATCTATTTTTTACACTAAAAATACAAAAAAAAAATAGCACGTCCACTTTTCGAGTTGGGTGGCGTCCATTAAATTATCGCTTGGAGGAAAGACGACCGTGAAAATTGCAATTTCTGAACGGGATATCTTCGGTGCTTGTAAGGGTGTAATGCCACTACGGAAGAAGTCAAAAGGGACAAGAGCTACTTCCTGCCCAATTTTCTTTCGTTTGCTTTCAGTTGATGCTTGATATTACGACTACAGGATTTAAGTAACCATTTTGCTCCTTCCCTTTTTTCTTGTCGAGAAATTTCTTCACGCATACGCCGTTCCAGGAAACAGAACCATCCGTCTTGGGCTCTAACCACTCGTGAGACAAAAAAAAGAAGGAAGCACGTCAATTTCAAAGATAAGTGCTCAAGACCCCTTGAATTTCTTCAATTGCATGTAGGATCCGTAGTGTTTTTATATTTAGTTAGATTTAGACATAGTTACTGTTTGAACAGTGAGCAAGCATCCGCTCCCGCTGTTTGGTCTCGTCACATCAAGAATGCTCAACTGTTGTTCAGACAACTTAATTTCACATACCATGGATAAGATGCATTTGAGCATCCAAACTTAATCCCAACTAAACACAGACGTTCTCAGTGGACACCTCTTCCGCTTCATCCAAGGCTTCTTCATATTACAAGCCTCAATCTCAGCTTCTGACCATTTATGTTCTGTGGAGCTTCTGCAAATGACTCCCACCAGTCCCCCCGTCTTGCCCAGTCTTCCCTAGTTTAGATAGTTTTTGCCACAAATACAGTTGATAGGGAGCTGATGTAGTTAGAATCTGCTTGTTTGATTCTCTCAAGCTTCTAAATAGTATGTGTACTTTCACGAATGGAAAATATGATTTTTCAGTGATAAATCTGGACTTTGGAATTGCTGTATTTATTTCCTCGGCCACTCTTTATCTGCTTCTCCTCAATTTATTCTTCATCTTACGCCAATCTATTTCTAATTTCTCTGTTTCTTCAAAGTAATGTACTCTTCAACTCCTCAGCTCAAGACCGTCACTTAAAGGGGAACAAGAAAGTGGCAATAAGACACTGATATCATTCTACGAAAAAACAGAGAAAACAAAGAAGTCTGATAATCCAGGATCTATAACGGATATATGCAGTGAAGAACCAATATTAATGAAAACTCAACGACAATAGCTAGAGGGGAAAAGACACACCAACCATGAAACTATTACACCGCTGGAATCAGACACACAACCAAACCAGAAACAAACCCACAGCACTACTCGCACTAAGTAACAACAAAACGTTCAGTATTAACAGGCACAGAAATGCAAATGCCGGTTCACGGCCCTCAAGCAATCTTCACCTCGATGGTCTTCGGCTTCTTTGGCTCAGGCGGAGGCAATTTCTGAACAGTTACAGTTAACACGCCGTCTTGACACACGGCGGAGATGGCGTCTGTATTGGCATTTTCAGGGAGCACAAACTTGCGCATGAACTTACCGACCCTTCTCTCCATTCTCACATACTTGGCCCCTTCTTTCTCTTCCTCCCTCTTCCTCTCGCCACTGATCAGAAGCACATTATCATCCTCGACCTGAACCTTGATATCCCCAGACTTCAAGCCAGGCATATCGACGATAAACTCGTAGGAATTGGGAAATTCCTTGATGTCCGCCGGAGTCGCAGCCATGGCCTTGGCATCACGCACATACGTCCGGCTCGGAGCGTTAACGGATTTATCAGCGGCAGCGTCATCTGTAAAATCCATCATTTGTTGCAGTGTGCTCAATAATGGCGATTCCAAGCCCATGATCCTGAAATCCATCGCTTTCCTCTGCGTTGTTACTAACTGCGAAGGCAAGCGCTTTTCCTTCTGAAACTAGTATTTGTTGTAGAAAGAGCTCTAAATGCTAGTGATCTTTCGGTGCAAAGCAAGGCTTTTGGTTAGAGATTTTAAAGGGGTAGCAAAAGGTTGGCGGAAGACATTAGAAATTTCTGGAGAACAGAGAGCTATTATTGGGAAGTTCCAGGAGGTTCTACAGGTCTTCTACTAACGTCCAGAAGAGTGTAGTGGATATTACTCAATCTACCACTGAAAGTTAAACTAAATTAAACCGAACCTGTTCTTACCCCTCTTTAACTCTGTCCATTTGCCAATAAAAAAAACTGGCTTTTACGTCATCTCTGGTTGTTTACGGTATGGCAGCGTGTCTATGCTTATGGGGAACAAATTTTTTTTTTTTTTTTATGAAACCCTACGTCCTTTCTAGAAGAAAGGGTATCAACAATTAAATAATTAAATTTATCCTTCACAATTTTTATATTTTTGCGTAAAATTCAATTTCGAGTATTATACAGCCCACCCATGGTGCCTTTTCATCTATGAGACGCCATGTTTAAAAGACGTTAAGCCCCTAAACTATTTTATTCTGTACCCTTATTTTTCTTCTTGAATGTCTTTTTACAAAGTTGCATTGAAAACATTCGTTATAATAACTAATACAAAGTGCAATTCTTCTATTTTTTTTGTTTTATGTTTAAAATTAAGAACAATCGAACATATCATTTGATGTTTTTAAGTATAAAATTTGCAAAAGAATTTGGAGATAAAAGAGCAAAATGTGACAATATATATACATACATACCACCTTCGCTCTTTTATAAAAGAGTTAAATATTAAAAAAAATCAATTAGATAGGTTATTTGTTATTAATGTGTGTTGGTCTTTTTAAATTATTCGTTTTGATCATGTACATTAGATGAATCCTCTACAACCAATATGAATATTTTTGAGAAAAAATAGAAGCAAAAATGAATTAAAATATTATATTAAAAACTAAATCAACCCCCTTATATTAAGATTTGGATACTATATATGTGTGTGTGTTTGCGTGTGATTTTTATTTATATCTTGCTAAATGATGTTGTCTAACATAAACGGCGGAATTAGAAAAGAATATTACCTGGATATTTAAGCAGAAATCAAACTATAGTTTTAAAATTGTCTTTATAATTTATTAAGTAAATATGTAGAGGAGTTTTTTTTAGAGCACTCTTAAGAGGTTGTCCAACTCCTTCTACATTTTTTTTTTGGATTTGAAGTTATTAGCTTTTTTTTCCTTGGATATTTATCTGACTTATGCCCTTGAATAAAAGGAAATTTTGGTCCGGCAGCATGACTAATCCCATGTTACGGTCTCAAATAGTGCCCCCGGGAGCACAGAGGCGCAGTTTCGCCCCAAAATTAGAAATGATGAGTCGAGTCTTGATAGAGATAGATAATGGAACCGAGGTAAAAACAAATCAAAGGAAACTTGTTTATTTACTGGAAGCCGTACATAACATGCATCCATTTTTGGTAATCGCTGTATAATTTGGGGACACACACACACAACACGCATCAAAGAGGCAATTAAAGGCAAGAAAAGAGGATGATCTGAGTGATTAGGCAGTCTTAACCTCAATGGTCTTGGGCCTCTTGGGCTGGGGTGGTGGGTACTTCGGTACAGTAACCGTAAGCACTCCGTCCTGACAAACTGCAGAGATGGCGTCCTTGTCCGCATTGTCGGGGATCACGAATTTCCTCATGAACTTCCCCACCCTCCTCTCCATCCTCACGTACTGCACGCCTTCTTCCTTCTCCTTCCCTTTCTCTCTCCTCCTTTCCCCGCTCACTACCAAAACGTTGTCGTTCTCCACCTGCACCCTCATCTCGCTCCCCTTGATCCCCGGCATGTCCACCACGAACAAGTAACGGTCCGGGTACTCCACCACGTCCGCCGGCGTCGCCGCCATCGCCTTCGCGTCTCTCACGTAAGCCCTCGATGGATTGTTCCTTCCTCCTTTCTCCGCCTCCTCTGACAGCTCCAGCATGTCCTCCAGCATCGACAGTAATGGCGACTCCACACCCACGTTCCTCAAGTCCATTTCTGCGGTATGCAAATTGAAAATTCAGGGGACTCTGAACTTCTGTTGGTTGAAGTCTAAAGCAACAGAGTACCCCCTATTTATAGGCGATTTTCTGAAAAGGAAGTTAACCCGAGTGTTCTCGACTTCGATCATTTTTACATTCCATTGATGTGTCTCTAGAATTGTCTCCTCAAAGAATACCATTGAAGCTTCTCCTAAGTTCTAACCACCACTTAAAGGCCAAAAAAAAAACCACCACTTCACACCCTCTTACAATTTTCCGCCAAAAAAGAAACTGTCAGTTCGGAGTTTTGTTCTGACTATATTTAAATTGACCCGCGTCGCGTATAGTGGGTGAGTCTCTTTTAACAGAGATTTTTACATACGCTGAGACTCAAATTCGAGACCTCGTTTAAGCGATATCAAACCGCTTACTACTTGGATCAAGCCCTGTTGGTTTGAAATTGTCTGTAATTTAAACATGGAAGTCTATGATGCTTGCGAATAGACTATGGAAGTGTGAAAGCCCAAGGTAGAAGCAACCATTCCATAGTTATGGCCTGGCGACGAACATATTACTGAACTTAAGGTACTTTGAAGCCCAGGGTACAAACCCGCATCTCATAACCCATGCTCACTAAGACGCTTTTTGACGAATAATGATTCATTCAAAGCTTCAAAAGTTTTACCCAAAAAGAGAACAAAGGTTCGTACCACATTATCCCCCGAGGCCCCCCGATACCACTGACGCCAGGATAACATCGGGCTTAACATGTGTGAGATGTTAAAAGCCCAACGGTGTGGCAAAATCAGAATAACAATTGGAACCTAGCCTGGAAATGGCCGGGAATGCAACGAATTAGAACCTTCCTTTGGCTCATCTTGAAGCAGCGCCTCCTAACGAATGTGGAACGAGTCAGGAGGAGAATGACTCATAGTGCTGCCTGTGAAATATGTGGTTGCGAAATTGAAGATATTGACCATGTCCTACGGCGCTGCCCCGTTGCTTTTAACTGTTGGCTGAAAGTCATCCCACCCTCAAGGAGGCAGGAATTTTTCCAGCTTCCCATGGACCAACGGATAGCACGGAACTCAACCCGCACTACTCAAGCACTCAGTGGAGAATCTTCTTTGGCATCCTCGTTTGGAAATTTTGGGATAATAGGAATAGAATCATCTTTAGCAATGAGTCTAGAACGCCGGATTGTATTATTCGAATAGCGCACAGTTTAGCGCATCATACCACTATGGCAGCAGAGGTTCTTAACTCTATAACCACTACTGCCTAGTCTGGTTGTTTCTCCTCTGTAAATATTGGTTTTCATATATTTCCCCTTTATTCAAAAAAAAAAAAAAGCCCAAACGGTGTGGCATCAAGTACTTTTCGGACCTGTGGTAAAAGAAATTACTTTTTGGACCAAGACCAAATGGGCCTCCTGAGTAGCTGGTATCCCAAAAGTCGGCAAGTTATGTTCTGTACGGCCTATTGTTTATATTAGAGTAAAATGTAATTTTTATATATTCATTCTGACTTTATTTTTACCAAAACAGGACAATTATAAGTTTTCAAATTTTGATAATGACGTAATAACTTTATAATTCAATGACAATTATACTTGATATATAACGATTATACCATGTTATTATTGAAAGTTTATATATTTATTTTCTTATGATTAAAAATTTGAGAACAGATAATTATCTGTAAAAAATACATAAGAATTTAGTCACAAGTAAGAAATAATATGACTTTTCTGGTGAAAAGAAGAAGAAGAAATGGTAAGACTTTAATTTCATGGGAAGCGCTAACTTCAGAGGGCTAAAAATAGTAAAATACAAAGCGCCTATTAGAAACGGATTAGACGTGGAGGGCACAGATTGAGCACAAACCGGGGGAAGGAGTACTTTGTAAGCGGGGTGGGTCACCCATGGTATTTGGTCAGCTTCACACTCCGGGACGGAGAGGAAGAAGAACGTCAGAGCCACCGATATGGCAACCGACACGTGTCCGTTTCTGTGGAGCCCCAAAACCCTCACTAAGCTGCATAACCTCCTTCCATGTTTTCGTTAAACTTTTTAGACACCCCTGTTCTTGTCTCTGTGGCTCCACTCTTGACTTCATCGTATCATTGCTAATCTCAGCTCTATTGGATCGTTTCTCTTCCCCCCTCCCTCCCTCTCTCAAATTCTGGTTCTCTTGCTCCTTAGGTTTTATCTTTCTCTGCGTCCTCTCTCAATCGACTTGCTTGATTGGGACATGATGAATTGATGAGCTACTCCAAAAAAAAAAGGAAAAAATGATCAGGGTCCATACTTCTCTGGTAAGCACTATGGTCTGTTCCCAATCTGTTTCTCTCTCCTCTAGAAATGTCTGAACCATTTCTGGTGATCCCCGCCCGCTCCATAATCTGTCTTCGCAACAAGAAAATCACAAAATTGTATTTCTCCACCTCAACCTACTTCCTGGTTTTTCTTTTATCACCACAACTATTTACTCTCCTCCTCTTTCAGTCTTTGCCTTGTCTATTTCTCCGTATTTTCCTGATCAGTCCCGAGCTCACCTTGCTCGGTGCTATTACTAGATCAATTTAATGTTCTTTTTCCGGGATTGTTGAGCAAACAATAGTTGGCTTGGTCCTTTCTGGATCAGGATTTGGCTTTACAGTGGTAAGGGAAACTGTCTGTTAAGGGTCTTCCCGAATTCGTCTGTCCGTTAGAGTGGTTTCTCCAAAGTGGCGAAGATGAGTTTAGGTGCAGCTGAGGACGATTCGGCTTCGGAAATTCATATCCCAGCAGAAATAGACTGGCACATGCTTGACAAATCCAAATTCTTCTTCTTAGGCGCCGCCTTATTTTCTGGTGTATCTACCGCCCTTTATCCTATTATTGTGTTAAAGACCCGCCAGCAGGTTTGTTCTTCTCAGATTTCTTGCTTCCAGATGTCTTTTTCCATCATGCGCTATGAAGGCTTTAGAGGGTTTTACAAAGGTTTTGGTACCTCTTTGACTGGAACAATCCCTGCTCGGGCACTTTACATGGGTGCACTTGAGGTGACCAAGAGCAATGTTGGCTCTGCTATTGCTGGTTTGGGGTTTTCAGATACCACCGCCACCGCCATAGGTAATGCAGCTGCAGGAGTGAGCTCTGCTATGGCAGCACAATTAGTTTGGACCCCAATTGATGTTGTGAGTCAAAGACTCATGGTTTGCGGTAGCAGTAACGTGCTCTCCAGTGTTCATTGTGGGAATTACAGGAATGGTTTTGATGCCTTCAGGAAAATTCTTTGCACCGATGGGCTGCGAGGTTTGTATAGGGGATTCGGAATTTCCATATTGACTTATGCCCCGTCCAATGCTGTATGGTGGACTTCTTACTCTATGGTCCATAGGCTCATCTGGGGTACTTTTGGTGGCTATATGGGTAAGAAGGATGATAGCAAATTGGCCAATGGCTATTGTTTTAGACCTGATTCCAAGGCTATGGTTGCAGTCCAAGGGTTAAGTGCAGTTGTGGCCAGTGGGGTTTCGGCCATTATAACTATGCCACTTGACACTATCAAGACAAGGTTGCAGGTTTTGGATGCAGAGGAGAATGGACGAAGGAAGCCATTAACTGCTATGCAGACTGTTAGGAATCTGGTGAAGGAAGGAGGCTTTATTGCTTGTTACAGAGGATTGGGACCAAGGTGGGCTTCAATGTCCGTGTCTGCTACAACCATGATTACTACCTACGAGTTTTTGAAACGAATGTCTACCAAGAGGCTAGACAATGTATCTGCATAATGTCTCGAGGCAGGAGCAAAAAAGGATTCTATAGGAATTAGGATCTCTGTCTTTTCATTATATCTTCCCAACCCGTCTGGAGTTTTAGCTTGTAATAGCCTGCCTCATGGCTACTATGACGTGAATGTAAATTCATCTTTTATCTCCTCTGCTCTATCTACCAAAGAAAATAACTCTAGTTTTCATTATCATTATTTTGTCTTTTAATGACAGTGCTTCACTCCTAGTAATCGAAACCTTTTAACCACGCCTTGTACCTATTTGATCATGGATTCAGTCAGATAATTCTGAAAGGGTCAGCGAGTTACGAAAGACGCATATATAATCGCTGCATTATTCCTGAAAATTATAATGAACCCATGAGAGCCCAGGAAGGTAGGTTTGTTTTTGGCCCTAGCGACCTTCAAAGGACAAGGGATGGGGTTATGGGTCGCAGGTTCGGGTGATCAAAGGACTTGGTAAAGGTTATCCGACCTATGACTCCAATTTCCTTCCGTTTTTGTCAAGACCATGGAAGACGCCATATTAATACTCTGAGGTTGACTTTGTCTGGGAATATTAAAAGTATCCTTATTTGTATTTGTTGGGACGAGACGAGATCACTTCAGGGCAATGATTAAAGAACCGGACCGGACCAGACGGTCGGACCGGTTGAACCGTCACCCGGACTCGTTAACGGCTCGGTTTGGACCAAAAAACCGTTCACATAGTTGAGCCGGATTGGACCGGAGTTGAGCCGTTATTAAGCCGGAAACCGGAGTTGGACCGGGAACCGGAACGGTTTTCAGAAAACCGGACGGTTTTTTAGCCTGACTGAAAAATACTAAAAAATTTTTAAAAAATAGAAGAAAAATAAAAAAATTGATCCCCTTAAATATCCTAATATATTTTTAGACTAGTTATAACCATATAGTATTATTTCATTGAAAATTTCATATATTGTGATGTTAAAATCGTGAGTCGCTAGTCTTTTTGTTTCGATATTTGATCTATCTTTTAAAAAAATTTTGATTTGAATGAATTGATAATTTATAATATCATTAAATATTTTAAACATACATAAAATTAAATATATAAGGTTTTAGTCCATTTTCAATGATTTTATTATAATTTTAGATTATTTAAATGCATTTCTAAATTATTTAATAATTTGATATTTTTCATATATACTAATTATATGTATATAATATTTTTTTAAATTAATTATTGCGTCACCGGTCTGACCGAACGGTCCGACCGATCCGACCGATTGAACCATGACCCGTTGATCTTTCCGGTTCGACTTCCGGTCCGGCTTTTAAAACATTGCTTCAGGGTGTCACTTACGCCCACGAAAATACACTTATTAAAATGGCGGGTTACGAGCACGCAAAACAATCAGATGGCTAAACGGTAAGCCGTTTATTGGGCTCAACTAAGGACGAAAATTTATCAACCCAAGTGGGTAACAATGTCAATTTGGGTCCATAAGCATCTCAACGGATGACAGTGTCTACGTTTTGTATCTCATAGGATCCTGAATAAACAGAGCAATAGGTGTATTTAGGGAGTTAAAAAAGGTGCGAGCCATTTGGGCAGCACACCATAAGTTTAGATCCCGATGAGAATTGAGATAGGATTGTCGAGTGTCATAATGAGCGGTGGCTGGCAGTGCCTGTGGACCGACCCATGGAACAGAGGCGGCAGATGTCCCCTATGGAAACCGGGGGCTCCTTCTTAAAAGCCGGTTTCTGCAACCAATCGATGAGCCGAAAACAGTGGGCCACGCACACGCAGTCCTATTATCTCTTTTCTCTCTCCACTTTATCCAATTATCCTCCCCTTCATTGCGTGAATATGCAGAAAAATTTGGCAACTTCACAGAAATATCTCGCACGAGGACGATCACAGGAGATCAGTGATCCGCCATTGGGTAGCAGAAACATGGTTAATTTAGAACTCCCAACAACAATGGTGGTTACCGTTATGAATGGCGGCTATAAAAAATTACGGTGACCGCCATTAACGCCAAGGTAACCCGGACGCGGCTTCTCTCCTTTTCCCTTACCACCCGCCGCCCTCAAAGCTGCAGTGTTTTGAGTCAAAAACAGAAGACAGTGAGTGATTTTCTATAAAAAAAATATATATATATATATATATTCAGTTACTCTAAAACATTTTTTCAGTATTCTAAATTAATTTTTAATACAGTTACCACTTTCAAATATGTTTCTAATAACACTCAATATTTAACTCTTAGTGTTCTAAAATATTTTTTAATAGCATCCAGTACCTTAAAATTTTTTTAGTAACACCCAGTATCTGACATCTATCATATTAAAGAATTTTTCTAATAACACCTAATATCATAAATTAATTTTTAATATATCCAACACTCTAACATTTAGTTTCTTGAAGTATTTTTTATATAATATTTTATGATTGCTAAAATTTAGTTCAGGATACTTGCTACTACTAAAAAAAACACCACAGCATGTTGGATGTTGCATAGATGTCACTGAAAAAAATATTTTAGCCTGCTAAGTGGACCAAAAATTATTTTACAATACTAAGTGCTGTTAAAAAGTATCTTAGAATGCTGGGTGTTAAATATTGGGTGCTACAAAAAAAATATTTACCTTGCTAAGTGCATTAACAATTAATTTAGGATAGAAAATGACACTGAAAAAATAATTTAAGTTATCAGATAGTTTTTTAAATTAAGAAAAAGCCCTCACCGTCCCTTGCTTTCACTCAAAACGGCGCAGTATTAAGGGTAAAGGGGGCAGCGGATGGTAAGGGAAAATGAGAGAGGCTGCGTCCAAGGTCACCCCTACTGTTTTCGATAATATCAAGATGTAATTTATTACTACCTCTGTTTCTTAATATAGTGGCTCATTTGATTTTTATTTTGATTCTAAATATAAAACTTCAACTTACTTTGTATCTTATATTTATTAATTTTTTTCAAAGTAGTTCTTATAATAATGGTAGTTTTAACCAATATACTTGATTAGTAAGAATATTTCAGGAAAGACAACACATAATTATTACAAATAACTAACTTAACTAGTTTTCTTAATATACTCAAATTAGTGAACTAGCTATTATATTAAAATTAAAGACTGGGGGTAGTAGTATACTAACCCTGCTTGTAGTGTAATTTGCATTATACTTAACTTCTAATTTCCATTCGCTTAGAAGGCCTCGCTCTATTGCTCTCCAGGTATGCGGGGAGCAGTTTTGCTGTTTTGGACAAGGAGGGGTCACTTGATTTTCTCAGTAGAGATAATCTAGTGACTGTAGAAACTCACGGCTATATATAAAATTATATTTAAAAAAACAGGTTTAAAATCTTTAAGGGTCCGAGTTAGAAGTTCTAATCATAAATTTAGATGGTTCAAATCTGAATCTGATTAGCATTGACAAGCACTTAAACCATGTTTGTGACATTTCACATGATAATTTTCCAAAAGATCAGATTTAAAATTTTTAATTAATCATTTTTAAGTGAAATATTATTCTTTTTTAAAATAATAGTTAAGCTATTATCTTTAATTTAAATTATATACCCATTAAAATAATTATTTTAAAAAATAAAAGCCAAAAAAAAAATGAAATCTGAATATGGTAAATACTAAATACTCATCACTCTTGATGAGCCATGCTCATTCTTCAGTCTCACCGCTTTAATCATTTTTCTCAGATCACATGATATCAATTTCTTCTTGAATTGTAATCTTTTTTGGGTGATCCCATGGTATTCACAGGAGCGGTCTCGCTTCTTGAATTGCCTTGAATCTAGACGCAGTGCACACTGCCTCTCTTGAAGTCAACTCAAAACTACTCGTTTAAACTTTAAAATAACAACTACTAGCAGCCGCAAAACCACGGAAAATAAGCTTCAAAATTTCTTTTAACTTTGGGCCCTAATTAAAAATAATAAAATTACATCAACAGATTTTACAGCTAATGAATATAAAATTATGACAGGCCAGAAATGTCCTATCTTCTAGTATTTTATATTGATTGATTCAGAAAATATAATAACAAGGCGGATCAAGATCGCATCTATCAACATTCCCGGCCAGGTGTTACCGCTATTGCTTTCACCCAGATGCACATTCCTGTACATATTTCGCTTCGCCCGCTGTTAACAAAGGCAAGGATTGGAACACGGAGGGATGACAATCCAATGAAAATATGAACATTACGATATTGACACGGATTACAGTTACAGACAATTAAATTTAAGTAAGCACATGATCAAATCCACAGAGGAACAAGATAATCAACTAGCTCCTAACACAACCATCCTGATTTAAGATGAAATAAACAGTAGCTTACAAACCTAACATAATATTCAGAACAGATTTCCTGTAACAGCAAGACTAATGAACCTGACCTACTACCCAAATTAGTCGTCATAAAATGGCAGAACGTGAAGTAACCACGGTCAAGGTCGAGATCTCTTGTTGCTACAGGACGGACATTTGTACTGCTTGATATGTTCAGCCCTTGCAGGGGTGATCTTCACACACTTCCCGTGAAACCACTTCTCACAGATGTCACAGCAAATCCAGAACTCATCAGCTGCATAGTTCTCTCCACATGCCCCGCATAGTGTCTCTCCATGCTCCTCCTCGTCTTCTTCATCCAAACCCTCCTCATCTTCATCCTTTGATTGCATTGCTTTTGAATACTTTCCTTGAGACTCAGATCCTCTCTGCGTTTGCTAGCCCAAATACATAATGACAGTAAATAACAGTCAGGAGTTCAGGTCTCATTCCAAACTGGAGAAGGGCCAAAATCCCCAGGATAATAACTAATCACTTATATCTTGAATTTGAATTTGAATTTGAATTTCAGCAATGAAAAACAACACTATTCGCTACTCAAAAAGAGAAATTAGTCTTGACGATCCTTCATCCCCCTTTTCCCCGGTAGTAGGAACCCCCCCAAACAACATACCTTAGAGTTTGATTTGGATTTGTTACTGCTATGGTTAGAAACTGATGACTTTTCCTTTCCTTGTTTCTTGGCCATCCCCGTAACAACCTCAAATATTGTTGGAAGATCATTTATCATATTAAACAATCGCTTCCTGGAAGAACCAGAGGCATTATAGAAGATAACATCTCAGTTAATCATGAATCAGAATAGAATGGAAATTGAAGCACTATTCAGTATTCACAAACTTTTTCTTCTTCCCAGCAAAAGTCCCAGTGAGGTCATAATCCAGAATCCAAAAGTTCAACAGCGATTTATGTCAACTATATAGCATCAAGACTACTGAAAGCATCAATCTGAAGACATTAAATAAAAGATGACGTTTATTCTCAACGACAAAAGATTCTGTCAATTTGATAAAATTAAACAATCAGAACTTAAACACAAGAAGTAGGAAATCAAAAGAGCACTAGGCACAACAAAGTTTCCCAACTAGAACTACAGGAAACAGGAGGAATTGAACCGTCTGAATGAGGGCTTGAACCAACACCAACAGTAATTTATTGATTGTCAAGCTATGCCACTAGTACTCAACACGAGCAAGAGTCTAATAGCAATAAAGTGCTACGCAGCCAAAACAACAGTATGAGTTTAAAAATACAATTAAAGCGGATAAAATGACAGCCAAAAAAACCAAGTATCACTCTAGAAAAGTTTTGCTCCTCTAGGAAAAGTGGTTTAGGCTTTTCCCTCTAGGAGGTGGGCTGTAACTATAACCCAGTTCATGCAGATTTGCAACAGAAGATTCTCAAGTTCGTTTCTAATTTCTGTCACCTCTTCCATGCATGAGCTACACTAATCTTCCATTTGTTTGTCAAAACCCGATAGTGCTTAGCGATTATGTTCGCTAATAATTCTGATGAGACAATCAGGAGGACAGTCATGTTATTTTGACTAAATTGCCAGAAAAGTTTTGTCAACAACCATAGAAAAGTGTAAGCTGGTTTATTGGATCTGGTTTTAGTTAAGTAAAGCAATTTCGACAGATTGTGATTATAAACATAACTTGCAGGAAAATGTCAAGTTAGAACTTTCTGACACACCATTAACTAGCAATGAAACTTGAAGTAATTAGCTCTGCTAAACCCGTTCAACAATTGTGGTATGTTATTTTAATGTTAAACAAAACATGGAACTTGCAAGCTGTGGTATAATTTTTTTTTTTTGGGTGATTATTATGTACTCCCTCCATCCTTTTTATAAGCAACAACGACCATCCCCCTCTTGTTCCTAAATATAAGCAACATTTGCGAGTTGTTTTAAATTTTTGCAACAAATTTCCTATTTTTCCCCCCATTAATTACTTATTTTAATATTCAATATATTTATTGTCTCATTTCCCAAACCATTATCTCTCTCCATCACACATTCTCTCTCTTTCATAATTCTTTTTATTATAATAATTTTCTTATTCTCTTTCTTATACTCTCTCCCCCCCATAAATAAAGATATTTTGAAGAAAGAACTTCTAATTTTCATCTATTTATTTTCTTTAACTAACTTTTTAATATTCATAATGGAGTCCTATGTTGCTTATAATAAGGGGCAGAGGGAGTAATGTTCAATATTGATGGAACCACGGATGGACTTTGTTTTCTACTTAGAGCATGATAATGAAGTTCTGTCCAGCAGTTTAGAACAGTCCTAGTAGTGCATGCAGATTCTGTTCAATTTTGACAAGACTGTAACTGAAATAGACATTCAAAGCACATAAGCAATTCAAATTCCAATAGAAGAGTCAGCTATTTGTTTGATACAGCGGCACCTCAGACTTAAACTCTATTCTACTTATTTCATTGTTAGAAGTAACCTATTCACTCATGTTATGTTCCAACAAAGCAGCAAAGGACCTTAGCTTCATAACAAGATATATTAAAATGAATAATTAATAATGTGGGAGCGATGTCAAAATCTCAAAGCAGTTGGCCACAAACCATGCTACATTTGGACAAACTCATCAATCATTTTAAGAGCAAAGCCATTCAAATTTAAGAACAGAACAACCATGTTTCTAACCAAGGGAATTGGAAGACAAACCTATCAGCCTTATCAAATCCAAATCTAGCACCAAAATAAAAGGCTACAGCAAGTAGCCATGCATCACTGTGAACAGCAACCAAAGATAGCCAATCTTTTTCTTGCATCCCATCTCTGGCAAAGTTAATACCCAGCGCAGGTTCTGGAAGCTCTGGAGGCACTTCCTCAGCAGGCAGATTGACTTCCCACTGCTCACTAGGAAATCCATAAAGGCACAGGTTCTCCTTCTCTGCATCACAAACCTTGTATAAATCACTTGCTGTTTCTACGTAAAAGAATTTCAAACATTTCAAACAATATAATGATATTGCATTCCATATAAATTATTTAGATTATATGAGGCCTTCAGGCGTGATAATAGCACAGCTGCACAAGGCAATAGATTATATCCATCATCCAAAACAAAATATCAACCATATTTGCGAAAAGATAACGCCAGAAGTTTGTTTCCAAGGAAACAGATCATCAGTTGTGTCAGACAAAACCTAGTAGCAAGGGTTAAAATATCACAAATCACAACCGAAAATTCTAATACTTTTCACCTGCTTAAAACTTTAGTCAGTAAGTTTATTCTGGACACAATACATTACTCTGCTTTAAAACATCCTAAACCCTATTAGTCTCGCTTCTCAAGTCTGGACATTGCCAAATTCCAATTTAGCCAACTGATCCTCTTTTGTTCAGACCTTCTTACCATATGCAGGAGAGCGCGGAGTGTAGGAATATTAAATCATGGAAGCCAGAGGACAGCTTGAACAAATTTTAGTTCCACCGGTTGGCACTAGCTAGGTGCATGCACACCTAGATATTAGATGTATGAGATAGGCTGCATTCCATTAGCCCAAAGAATATCCCCAATTTCCTTGAACACAAAATACATTATTGGATAAATGGGTAAACTAAGGCCCATTTCACAGCAAAAATGGTTGTTTGTCGCCCCACAGAAAAACTAATAATAAGAATAATAATACTGAATAAATAAGAAATAGTAAAATGTGACGTTAGTTGTAAGAAACTCAGCCTATAAATCAAGGAAAGGTTCAGAACCATTGATTCATGAAACACCATGCAAAATTTTGCTCTCTATAATCAATTAAATGCAAGGATGAAGAAATTAGGCCATCTATCCTCAATCCTTCATCCTATTCCTAATTCACTAACTAAGAAGCACCAATATGGGTGCACGGAACAATGTAGCATGATATCGTGGATACAACAATCTTCAAAATATTAGGATACGGCATAAGAATTAATATCAATTTTTTTCCAAGTTTTTGAGTAATATGGAAATATTTTGCTGAGAAAAGTCATAATACAAATGTTAGAATATACAAGGATATCATGAAGTATAAGAAGTGTACAGTATCGGATACACGTCAAATATGGGTAAGTTTGCCTTTTTGAAGTATAGGTGCTTCATAGGTCACTATGCAAAGTAAGACTCGTTAAGCCTTATAAACTTTTGCGATCAGTGCAGGAAATAAAGATAAAGCTGCAACATTTACCTCAAAACCAGAACCAAATAGAAAATATTCCAATTAAGATTCTGCCCTAGCATTGAAGCACAATCTACTAAAATGCATATAAGATAAATGCTATCTATCACCCTTCCGAGAAAATTTCAATACACATGCATACTACGAACATACAGGTACACACACGCAGCAGTCACTTTAGTCAAGCATGAAAATGATAACTTCAAGCAGCCGACGGCCAAAGTTAGAACCAGCCTCCCAAAACTATGAAATTATATTCTCTTCAATAGAGCTTCGAATCAGAAGTGTGACAAATTGAATAAATTTTCAGAGGGAAAAAAAAACACAGTAACTGCTTCTCTTGGAGCAGTTTTGCTACCAAAGAAATCAACAAGAGAAACGAACGAAAGAGCCTGAGAAGTGACCATAGAGAAAATAAGACGAGAGCGAAATGAAACCGTACCAGGATCACACTGCTGATAGAACTCTTCAACATCTGCAGAAAAACATGAAAGGGAACACGCATGATGTGTTATATCGGAGCTATACTGAGAATAGAAGTTAAAATTTAACGCAGACGATCGCCAGAGTCAAAAGGATAAATGCTAAAACATTTCAAAAAATGAGGAAAGAAAAAGAACAGTGGGGAGTGCATACCGGTGGTGAGGGCCCTAATCATGCCAGCACGGCGACCCTTGAAATCCCTGAAGACCTCTTCAACCGTGCGAGGATTGTAGGGAGCACCCCCGTCCATGAGGAGCTGAAATTGAAGGAGGAAGGGGAGAAGGAGTGAGCTTGTAAATGGAGGGAAAGATGGGAAAGTATTTGACCTGTGATTGAGTGGGAGAAGGAGAGAGAAAGAGAAAGCGTAGGTTTAAGCGGATCTGAATCGGACAGAATTGAAGGATGTTAACCGGATTTGATAGAAGGACATGGAGTCCGCCAACCAGAATGCATAGCCCGTTTACGAGAGCAATTTTTCAAATTTTTGCGCTGTGGGCCCACCTCCGATTAGCTTTCCCCATCCTCTAATCCTCTCATTCATCAACGCCCATTAGCGCTTCATCTCACTTCTCTGGCAGTTATTATTTCCGGACGTTTTAAAAATCATTTCTATTTTAATTATTTAAGGTTGGACAATCATTAATCAATCAACATAATCATCGCAGTTGGCAAAACCCAAACAAAAAAAATGTGTTTTCGCATATGTCTTCTTTGGTTTTTTTTTTTGCGCCAAAGTGTACGTCTTCTCAAAAACAAGAACAAAAATCAGAATATTTTTTAATATTTTTTACCTAACATAAATAGAAAATAGAATTCTATTCACACCATTAATGTTCAGTTTTCTTTCCAAAACATTAATATTCAATATAAAATATAAAATTTATTATGAGGTGTAGTGTTCGTGAATAATCCTCCTCATTATTTATATTTTGTATCATTTATAAAAATGTGGGTAATTTATTCAATTATTGGCATGGGTAAGTATTGATAATTTCTTTTTTGTTAAGAGTATTGATACATTTTATGCATGAAAAATTGGAAACATGTCAGATTTTTCTTGTCAATAGAATTATCAAACAAGGACTTTTCATCCATTTTTCTATATATATATATATATATATATATTTTGAAACGTAGAGTCATCGCTGGGCAACAACGGTGGAAAAAAAAGTAACTCGTTCAATTCAATTTCTGACATTACACAGGATGGGAACATTCTACACAGGATTTTGTTGAAATTATATCTTATTACCAACCATATTAATGATTAATTAATAACTCTTGCTCGAAACAAAACTGAGATTAGAAAAGAGCCAAAGAAGAGGCTAAAGCTTAAATCCTGTATATACAATCTATCAGGCATTGAAATTTAATGAAGTTGGGATGACTCCTCCACAATGGTCAATCATTTCTCCTTTAAGTCTCTCAATTTCTGCCTCCGTTTGTGCCCTTGACGCTGCCTCTGCTGAATTTAAAGTCCCTCTCAATATGTTTATTTTCCTCTCTATGCTCTTTATCTGCACATATAAATATGTATGAATCATATGTTAATCTCAGCATTTCATCACCACTCCTACGCACAATGATGATAAATTGACAAGAGCTCGAAACGAAAAGACTATTTAGGAACCTTTCTGTGAGGCCATCTGGCTAATCCTTCTTTACGGCATATCTTCTTCACAACCGTAGGACACAAGTTCACTTGCCTCGCTGCTTCTTCAATAGGTAGATGAAACACGTCCCTGAAATCACTCAGTTTCATCTTCCCCGCTCTCTCCCTCTGCACCCCATATTTTGTCAGCCATTATTATATTGTTCTATGAATAAGAAGATCAAATACGAGATTCTGCCAACAATTTTATTTTTTTTTTAAAAAAAAACGACCTGCGTTGAAAGACTAGCCCGAGCAGTCCTATCCATATCCTCGGTCTCATCAGATGCTGCCCCTACAAAACATGAATATATTAAAAGAGGTGACTAATAAAACGAGGTTTGAAAGAAAAAAGGACTGTCGAAGGGAGACTAACCAGAATTGTCAGCGTAGGTGCCAAGGAATTCGTCATTTAAATCTTCATTCCATTCCATTCCAATGCAGAGGGCTTCATAATAAGCTGACAGTGGATCTTGCACAGTGAAGTACCCTGCTGCATTCTTCTCCGCGCAGTACTGCCTAAGAAAATTCTTGACATCCTCCATAGATTTTCTGCAAAAACTGTTCGTATTTTCAAAAAGGTTCAAACCTCAGTCACAAGTTGATCATGGGAAGCCAACCAAAGCAGCAAAACAAGAGTTTGATAACGTACTCAAGCATGTGAATTTGCTGATCGCCGGAGGAACCCACACTAATATTCTGTCGAAGAATTGCATGAGAGATCACACCCAGTCTTCCGTGAATCTCCAGTTTTGAGAACTTAATCCCTGATCCAAATATTAAAGGTGTAAGGGGGAAATAAACAAAAATTACCCAATATTTATTCGTGATAGCCCAGGTCTTACCATTAGTGTGAATGATTTCTCTAAGAACTTGACAGCAACTACAAAGAAAAGGGACTGGATTTTCTGGCCAGTATTGAAGTTGAGACACCTCGGGGAAATTCTGTGAATGCATATTCTCTTGACTTGGATGGCTTTCCCCATGAAGTCCAGATGGACCTGCTTCAAAGTTTCCCTCTTGATGGGGAAAATCCCGCATGGCGGCGTCTTGAATCACTTGATGACCCGAATTCGGATAAGTATCCTGTAAAATTGCATCACTTTGTTGGGGGAACGGAGAAGCATTGTGCTCATTGGATGGACCTGCGGGGGGTAGATTATGATCATTCTGGAAATCGAGGATGCTTTCGGGCAATGGGAAATCGTACGGGTCATTGTACGGAACAATACTCCAGGGATCTCCCATGCATTAGGAACTCGACCGGAAACAAAATGCTTCCTCCTCTCTGCTCTGATTGTTGATCCAGGGGATTCAGTAGCGGCGCTAAGTGAAAGCGCCGCCACAGAGAGCGGAGGGCGATGTGGGGTGCCAGGCAGCGTCGTGACTCTTCTTCTCTGAAGGAGACGGAAGGGTAACAACATATCTGTCTGGGACGAAGTTAAATAGGGGGAGAAAGAGGCGCCAGAGGCAGTTAATGACCGTTGGGAAACGTCGGTTGGCATGTCATGTTAGAATTCGTTAATTAAATAGCACAGTGAAGACAACATCACTTCGTTTAGAGAAAATTTTAAAATTTTAATTCTAGTATAAACGTCACAGAACTAAAACGAGTCGCGCAACTCCTCGCCGTTTCATCAAAGGGGAGAAGCACAGTTAGTCAGTAATGCCCCTAAATTCTCGTAATATACAAATCTTCGTGTTACATAGTTTGACAGGGTTTGAGGTAAGTCAACCTATTTTACGTGGGAAGAAATAGTAGCTGGCAAGACAGGCAGTGCGCTCTTTGGGCATTTCTTCCTTGGTGCATTTTTGGCTTCGGGACGACCACAATCCTGATATGGATTTCAACTCTTTTTTATATCAAGTAATTAGGCGCACGTTTTTTAGGATCCAGTTGTACATGGAATTGCTCGCATACTGCTCTTGTTAACAGCGTTGACCGTGACAGTGTCAGCTTTTGACTTTAGTTAACATCGCAATATATAAGCTTCTTCATAAAATCACATGCTTGTTCAAAGTTCACTGTATTCAACCGGAATAAATTGCAACAAAATTTATTGGTTTAAAAGTTGAATGGGTTCTTGTCCTCGTTGGAGCCTGATTAGTTGTGTGAGGCTAAAATCGGCTTACACCATTATGATCTCTAAAAGGAAAACCCAGCAAATACTCGTTTATCATTCAAGTGCACTGAAAATGTCTGGTTTGATTTATTCGGTAAGTGAAACAAACCCAGCACAATGGCCTAAAATGAAGAGAAGAAATGTATAGAGGAGAGAAATTCCCCGGAAGGTGGGACCAGTGAGGGACAGGCAAAATACGTTCCCACACCCCTCCTCAAAACTCTTTTCATTAACCTCCCTCGGCCCATTTCTTCATCTCCAGCCCCAATCTCCGCTTGGCCCATTCAATGAAAACCTGTATCTCTGCAACTTGCTTTCAGTCATTTCAGCCAACAGTATATGTGAAGTATTGCAGCGTGTGCTTGTTAATTCCCAAGAACAGTTGTTCACGTAATTTTTTATAATTAACTAGTTTATCTAATTTTTTTAATTTAATCAAATTAATTAAATAGATTTTATATTAAATACCAGAGGAGTATAAAATTTTTTTACATGCTTACATTGTGTTACATAAATTATGATTAAAAAACTGCTTTTAAATGATTCTACATCATTCCAAACAACCCTAAGACGCGGTACATTGCTGGTATAGGGAGCCATGGTAAGCCGTGAAGGGAGATATCAACAACTTTTCATCTCAGTTATAATTATGATTTGCGCCTGAGAGTGAATAATGGTTCACGTTACGTACATGTTTAGTCAGGCCAAGCATGTAATATTTGTAGTGTTTGGACGTGTCCAAAAGTTTTTTTAAAACCATTTTTCTGTAAGTCAAAATAAACTCTTTCACATATCTATTTTGGGAGTGTTTGGATGGAAACTAAACTACTCCTCCGGTCCTAATTATAAGACCCAATTGACTTATTTGAGGAGATTAAGGAAGTAAGTTAAATTGGTTATTTATAATAAATAAGTGTTGTCATTCCTAAAATATCCTTGCTAATTAAGTATATTGGCTAAAACTATCATTGTTAGAAGGATTATCTTGGAAAAAAAATGTATAAATATAAGAGACAAAATGGATTGGGTCTTATAATTAGGACCAAATAAAAAGTCAAATTGGGTCTTATAATAAGGACCGGAGGAGTATAATCTTAAAAGTGTTTTTACGGTATACGAAGTAAATATGTGGATGAGTTTATCTCGTTTTTTGAGAAAATTTTTTTTAAACATATTTTTATATATTATCCCATCTATTATAAAATTATTTCCGAAACTATGGTTTGTTGTTCAATCAAAATAATTGGAGATTTGAGGCTTGACCCACTGCGGACTAAAATTATGGGCTGGCGACCCCGCGACACTGGACTTCAGGCTTCGTGTCCGAGATTTGATGAGAAAGAGATGTGACCCATTCGCTTTCTCCCTCAACGTACATAGTTTGGAACTCCGATCGTTAATAAGCTCACATGCATACAGGGGATCGGAGCTCATATGTTTTTAAAAAGTTTAAATATCTAAGTTTTGCTGCGTATTCTTATTGGCTTCAGACTAGCCAAACAAGTCACCATCTTTTAAGCTTCGACCGAGGAAGATTTTGTTAAGTCGTTCAATCTTAAAAAATATGAAGGGAACAGTTCAGATGGCATAATTACAGGTTCAGAATATCAGAATTACCTGACACGAGTTGTAAGTTGTAACTAAAACATTATACGGAGCGGCTGGCTTATGTGGCACCTGTTGACTGAATGATGTATCCACGTCACCACATCATTTGGAGATAAAATAGAAAGAATTTGAGATGCGCGCGACACAGTTTGCTGCTCTCGGCAGCAATCAACTCTATATTTCACTATTGCTAGCTAGAGACAGGAGAAGACAGTGACCTGCTCCTTTTGTTCCCCTTCCTTTTCCACAGCTTTATTTTCAATTGAGAGATTTGAATAATGAAGAAACATTAAACAACAATGGAAATAAAATTTTAATCTCAATATGCGTGTGTGTGTCAAGATTAAAACCCCACTTTCATTCATTATAGATCTCCCTCTCTCTTTCCCTCAAACAAACAGCTTTTTAACCCCATACCCAGGGCGCGCGGGACGTGGGCTTGGCGACAATGCAAGAAACAAAAAGTGGAAAGCAGAAAACACTATATATGTGCTTATTATAGAGGTCCATGCACTGACATTGGTCCAGTGGTCTCAGTATAGTGAAAATCAGTCTGTACAATTCCCGTTGTATGCGAAAATGATAGTCATTTAGAAAAGAGAAGCCAATAAGCTGGCCGGCCTAATGCGCTGGCCCTGTGCACTGAATTTAATAAATACTATATGTGCATTTTCAGGTCGCATAATAGATGCCGTGTGCTCGGCAGCGGACGGGACAATGACACGAGGTATTAATGAACATATGAGCTGCAGGAACAAACACATACACGGGTGCCATCAATACAGATATAAAAGAATTGAAATGAAAGTGAGAAAGAAAGGGAACGAGCTGGTTGATCAAGAAAGGAATTAATGTGCATGGAGTTGCAGTCGCACGTGGCGATGGAAAGCAAGCAAGGATCCAACTCATGCAGGTGCACGTGAGTGCAGCTCACAGTTGGAGAGAGAAAGGGAGAAGTGTGGGGGGTTGTCAGAAACCCCGAGGCTGAGGACATGGTTGCAGAGGGCGAGGGAAAAAGAAGATGCTGTGTTGTGCTGCTACCTAATAACTGAATCTTGCTTTGTTGGAAAAAGAGCACTGTTCCTTTCTTTGATCACAATCTTCCCATCTTTTCTTTTCTCCGCTCTTTTTTCTCACGCTTAACTCTCCCCATTGGGATCCTCACCGCTCCTCTCCCGCTATGCTTCTTTCACATCATTTACAGCTAGCTAGCTACATGACTACATACAACTCTGGCTTTTGTGCTAAAGATGAACATACATAACGCTGTCTGCAATCCAATCTAACCGTTGGATTGATGTGGGAGCAATTTTGGTACAGGAGGGCAAGTTTAATTTTCCGAAGCCTGAGGCTCAGGGTTTGTAGTGTACTTGGAGTTGGAGTGGCTGAAATGAAAGGTAATGTCAGCGCATGCCCTAGCACGTGCTCCACTGCTTAGGGGGCAACTCCTGGGTCCCCTGTTCACTCATGTCCCCCACTCATTGGCATTTCAGTTCCATATCCACTCCAACTCTTCAATCCTATTTTCTCATCTATACATCCAAACCACTTGTATATGAATCTAACCTGTTTCGGTGAACCGACCATACAGTATATATGCTGGTCAAAAAACCATACAGTATATATATGTGTGTTTGTATTCAGAAAAGATGAGTCAAAGAATGGTAAAAATGCCATGCTTCCTCGTCCAGAGTTGCAGATTGTATGTATGAAGACTACGACTTCTCAAATACTAACACTGGAACACAGATGCTATATATCTTTGAGAAAGGGGCGTTTAGGGAAGGGACCAGGGGAGTGCACGTGTGAGAGGGAGGGGCGAGGTACAGTAAATGAGTCAGGTGCCAAAACATACGGTGTTGCCCTTGGGGCCTCCAAGCGTCCCCACTTTTTTCACGCCCAAACACCCATTAATTCTTCCCACCTTCCCCCATTCCCTCCACACAAATTTTAATATGTGCGTGTGGAACTTTAGATCTGTCATTTTCATGGGCTTATAATTCCAGGAATTGTGTGTATAAGTAACCAGAGTTTTTTAAACTAATACCCCAGACTGTTAGGGAAACTAACTGTTGATTCACTTTCTCTCTTCTCTGCCTCCCCTGTCCTGTCCCTTTAGCTACGAAGAGAGATATGTATATGCTAGTAGTACCTAACATTAAGCGTATTTTTTATCTATGAAGAACTCAAAATAAATTATGCCAAATGCACTCAAAGGAAAAATGAAAGTTACACCATAAAACAACGAGAACAGTGACAAATTATAATCCCGCAAGTTTTGACAGCGGGTTAAAAAAATAAAAAGTAGTTGTCAGTCAGTATCGAGTCAGATAAGTAAGGTTGTCCACGTTCTTTAATTACAGGTAGTGAGAGGATGATGCGTGTGGCAGATTGCCTGAATGAACTAATTCCAATACATCTACGAATGTGCAGAGAGTGCATTAAAAATCTCAGTCTGAATTAAATGTGTGTGTCTTCCTCAATTTATTCACGCACCAACACTTGTCCTCTGTTCCCATTCCACTTGTTCCTCCTCCTTGCCTTCAGCCTGCACCCCAAAATTTTACTATTATTTCACCTCTGACACAGAAACCTAGTAAGCACATAACTTGCGAAAGTTCCGCCCACATCAGGAACTCAAGTTATCATTAATATAATATACATAAAACCTGGGGAAATTCCACTTAAATGATTATTACTTCCATCATGACAGAATTATAGAAATGTAACAAATATTCACTTTCATATATATATATATATATATATATATATTATAATCCGCAAAAAAGACGACATATTTTCTCTTTTAAACTAGTCTCTTTCCTTTTTGTCCATTTCACGGAAGCTTCAAAACAAGATCCCAACATGAGCGATTCAAGTTACTTGGGTCTCATTATGCTGACGAGAAACACCAATGTCCCTCTTTTTCGCCCACGCAAAACTAATCGTTTTTTCATTATCCGTGGCTTGCTGACATTAAAAATTGTCTCCATTTTCCCTTCCTGCCTTAATCTGACTACTCATGACTCCATCCACACCCCAACAATATCTCAGCGCGAACTGTCCCTACCAAGATATTAAATTTCCCCTCAAGATCCATTGTCACGAGATCACTGTCTAAATGCGGGTGGAAGCCAGCCCAACCTGTCCACAACACTTGACCAATTGAAATAGGAAATCACATTCCTCTGAACCAAATGAAGAGACCGATCAAAAGAGATTTCGATATCAAGGCCTGTGTGTAGGGCACATAAAGGGTCGTCGATGTTGTGCACATCATGGCGTGTGTCTCCAGGAAGAAGAACAGGGAGGAAGCCATGTGTATTGGAGGGCATGTGGTGTTGACAAGTAATGGAGGGGGCAAATCCCTTGGTGCCCATAAAAGCTAAGGCCCGTGGTGGGGTTAAGTTGGATCTTAATGTAAGTATGATTCGTCGCTTTCACAATACTTAAATGATGCTGCTGCTGTTTGCATTCAATTCTAAAATACTAATAATAGAGACTCTCAAAATGGAGCAGCAGGTAACAACAAATTGATGTTACGTGCATGGTAATGGATCGTCTGTGTGTGTGAATTGATTATCTTATCAAGTTTGGTGGGTTGTTTCATGGACAGGTGCATATTTGACTACGCACGATTGTTATAGGTTTCGCCTGCTTGATGCTAACGAGTAACGATGGACTTCCCTGTTATTGGTGGCAACATCTCATGGCCTTATAAATTCAGTCTTTTTTCTTTGCTCAAGACTAGGCTAGTATTTTGATTCGGATCAAACGTGTATTCCCTATTATATCTTCTTAATTAAATAGCTGTGTACATATAACATCTCACCTGGAATATTTGTTTGAAATGTGAAAAAATATATATAGCTATGCATTTATTGGAATATTATTCCAAAAATATATTTTATAAGTGGGTTGCAGCACAATATTTATTGTTGAGAGAACAAAACAGTCATATTGAAAATACAAGGGTGAATGGGTATATTTATTGGTAATTACGGGTAATGTAATAAATAGCCAAAAGGAACAAAGATTTAAAAATGGGTGGAGCCGATTAATTAGCCCTTGTGTATAATGTTGTCTTTTTGACGGCTGAGGGTGAGTGAATGCTTATAAATGCTAAGGAAATTGATGAAATGTTCAGATTTGTGAGGGAAATTAAAAAGTCAAACGAAGGCATGGAGCCTAATTAATTAGCGCCGAGAATATGCCGTTGTATATAAAGTTCAGAACACGTTACTATTACATCCGTAAGTCAAACACAGCGCGCGCGCGCGAGCGAGTGAGCGAGAGAGAGAGGCTGCTTCATCGCCAAATTCAAGGCTCCCTCAGCATAATTTGTCGTCCCTTAATTATTTTAATCACCAATCACGCAATCATTAAAGTTCACCTTTGTCCCATTCACTTCTTCTTCCCCCTCATTTTCACTGACAAAGATATACTATAAGAGTTTATTTGACTTTTATTTTAATCCTAGATATAAAACCCCAATTCACTCTATTTCTCATATTTATTTATTTATTTTAAGATAGTTTTTGTAATAATGGTAGCTTTAATCAATAAACTTTATTAATAAGGATATTTTAGGAAAGACAACACATATTTATTACAAATAACTAACTTAACTAGTTTTCTTAATATACTCAAATTAATTAACTAGTTCTTATATTAAGGATTACTCGAACAAACCTGTTCTCCCAGCTGAAGTGGCGGGTCATTCCCCCCTTACTGAATTTTCCTCCCCACCAATAGTACCATGTGTGGTTAATCACATTCATTGTGTTAGGTGATTCATCTGGCTACACTTTTATATCCCTCGCACGCTTCACAATTGATTTATATATGTACATTCCAATAATTCATCTCTGAGTCCCGCCGGATTCATATTCAATAATTGCCGCTTTGATTATATAGCAACGCCCAAGGAAAATAATAATCGACCCTAACATGCATATTCATCATCCATATATAATTTTAAACATGCACGCAACAAAGCATAAAATTTACTGGCACCGTATTCTATATTAGAAAGACGATAAGAGGAGATCTGATTTTGTTCCTTTTTTAAAAACACAGTATTTTTCATTGTTCTTGAATGTTAATAAGCATATATCTACTTCTATTTGTATCCGATGTATGTATCAAATACAAATTAAATCTGATGTCAGGGTTACCTAACCAAAGCAATCACTGATGACCTTGCCAACTCAATTATATTGCAAGTTCAAATCAATAATGACATCCTTCTTGTTGCTCCGTCTATAACTGATAGAAACAATCCATTCCCATTCACCAGGGGTGGTTCTTAAATCAAAAGCTTTGGATCCCAATCAGAGGGCACTAAAGTCACCTCCCCGACACGTTGAATAATTATTAATTTATGATTCGCACTCCTCACGGAGCTCCCAACGTGCGAAACTGAAATGAAAGAAGCCATGATTGCTCATTTGTGTTCCACATTCGTTTCCCTTTTACCATCAAAACATTGACAAATGCTCGCGTCTAAGAAAAATTGATGCATTTCACGACGTGTTAACTTACTACCCGCGCGTCTAAGTTAAGAAATCATATCATTTTCCTTTTTCTTCCTCTCAAATCGATCACCCAAAAAAAAAAATCTTGAAAATAAATGCATTTCATAATTTGGTAACAATAGAACGCCCCATACCGTATTTACACCTGAATACATTCTCTGCGCGTTTAAGTGACGTGAATGGATGGAATTTGTATATAACACACACATAAATGTGTGGGACCCAGCGGGGAGACGGAGGGTTAAGTTCGCTGCACGAATGCCCACTGGAACTACGGGGGGCGTTCAGCGGGATCAACGGCTACAAATTCGAATTTGGAAGCAGAGGACGCGAAATAAGAAAGGCAGGGGAGGGAGGATATGGGAATGATGAAGCGAAGATCGATGCCACGTAAGCAAGCAGATGCCGAGGTGGCATTGGCTCCCAGGAGGATGGGGACAATGACTTGCACGCACGTGACCATCCTTTATAAAGCCTCCCCCCTCCTCTGCTCCCCTTCGTTCTCACTCATTCACCCCTTCCTTTCTTCCTTCCACAGTGATCAACCTCTCTGTTCACGTTTTCTTCTGCCCTGTTCCCCCAACAATCATCGCCCCCTTCCATCATGCTCATCATTTCATTCCCCTTCCTTTCCACCTTTTAACCCTTCCTTCCTCCCAAAAAAGTCCCACTTTGCTCCCCCTTGTTCATCATTCCCTTTTCATCCGTGCTGCTCATTCTTTTCGCATCAAACATGTACAGGTCCCAGAGGACGTCACTCGCAGAAGACAGGCTCCTCAACCACGTCAAAACCCCATCTTTCTCCTCTTCCCTCCTCGATCAAATTTACCGCTCCATTGACGACGGTGAGAGGGAGAGTGGCGAAATCAAGTTGTATCCAGAAACGACGGCCAGGAAACAGACCAGGATCGGCGGGAAACATAGTAACAGATGCGTGCAAGAGGTGGAGTTGGCAACGGAGAGTCTTCCGAGAGCTTGTATACTGGATAAGTGGATGGACGAGAAGATGGCCGAAAAACATGGGACTCATGGGCGACCCAAGCCGACGGAGATGGACAAGAAAGTACGTCGCCGTCATGATCGTCAGTCCCAAGATGCTCTGTTTTTCAGTTCAACATCAAGTTCCTCGGATTCTAGTTACGGAGGATTCTCATCCTCTGACACGGAGTCCATGTTCGGAGTGGGATCGGGGGCATCACGTTTCGCACCCCCGAGGCCCAAGCCGGTAAGGACCAGCGTGTCCGACGAGAAAGAGAGGAGGCACAGCGCTCAGATTTATGGACACAAAGAAGTTCACACGTTTGATGCTTATCGTCAAAATCCTAGCACAACAGCCAACAACGAAGGCTTAATCAAGTCAAAATCGAGGGCCTTGAAGATCTACAACAATCTCAAGAAGGTAAAGCAGCCTATATCTCCCGGTGGGAGGCTCACGAATTTCCTGAACTCTCTGTTTACTCATGGGAATACGAAGAAATCAAAGAGCACGCCTGCTCTGGGAGGCTACGAAGACTTGAAAGCTGAGAGAAAATCAAAATCAGGGCAAGCCTCGGTTTCGGCCTGTTCCTCTGCATCATCATTCTCACGCTCTTGTTTGAGCAAAACCTCGCCTTCTTCCAGACACAAGTTACGAGACGGCGTTCAAAGAAGCGTTCGTTTCTGCCCCGTAAGCGTGATCGTTGACGAAGAAAGCCGACCCTGTGGCCACAAATACTTGTACGAACAGAACGACCATAGCGTGATGATGCCGGTGTCGGTGCCAACCGCATGGAAAATCGGACGGTCACCGTTAACTTACAAGAAGAACGATGGGGAGATAAAGTTGGCGGCCATGGAGAAGAGCAGGAGGGTAGAAGAAGCTGGAAGAGAGCTTCTGAAAGAGTACCTTCAGAATCAGAAGAAGAGCGATTTCACATTGATGGATTTGCCTCTGAGGACAAATGAGTATGAAGATGAGGACGACGATGCGGCCAGCTATTCAAGTTCGGATCTTTTTGAGCTGGACCACTTAGCGGTCATGGAAAAGGGTAGATATTGTGAGGAGCTTCCGGTGTACGAGACTACTCATTTTAGCACGAATCGTGCCATAGCCAATGGTCTGATAACGTAGTTTTGTTCATTACCTGAGGCATATATTACCATTTTGTTTACTTTTAGAAGTGTTTTCTATACAAGCTTAAATTCCAATCCATGGTTTACTAGATCCAAAAGCAACCTTGACGATGGAGATGATGTCACTGTTTATGCTGTAATCTGAGAGTCCGAGACGGATCTTGTGTCATGTATATGTGTAGTATAATTTTACGTATCTAGATGTATTATGCACAAAAGGATACATGTAACTGTGCGTGTCAGAGAATCTGCAAATTTTTTTTTCTTTTTTGATTCGAATGGAAAACGAGAAAAGAACAGTAGAGGCAGGGTGATTCTGGCAGTAGGGTAGTTGGTGGGGTGGGAAAGAAATAAATGGGGATGCGTTAATAATCGATCGTGATCAAACATTCAGATAGCATACTGATACAGGGGTTTGATGTGGAAGAGCGAGAAAAGGATCCTCATGAGAAGCAAAAACAAGAGAGTGCGATGGTGAGATAAAGGTAAAGGTCAGATATTCGGCCATGGGAATAGAGAAAATCAGAAAAGTGAAGATTAATGCCTTTCCTTTCTCTTTCTTCCTTGCTCTGTGAAACTTGAAGAGGCCACCGACCCACCGTTTACTTGCAGATTGCGCCACCGCTCCAATCCCAAGTTCCCAACCACGGCTCAGTTATGCTGGAGATATTTTCAATTCAGCCCATTTACATAATAATAAACTGAAAAACTTGAAATTAATTTTAATTATTAAAGTGCTGATATTTCTTCTTCTTCTTCTTCTTTTTCGCGCCATGTGTGTTAGTCCCTTTGAATGTTCAATTTTCTAGAACCATGTTCCCTTATGATCGTTTCTATGAGTTTCCTTGGTCAATTTGTTACGAGACGTTTCAGGCACGAAGGCCCAATTATTTAAAAAGAAAAAAGAAACTAAAGAGAAATCCCTGATGCTGATATTCAAGTAATTATTTTGATACTAAATAGAATTAAAATATAATTTGCATTTGTGATGTTGGCCATGCATGTGCAATGAAGCACGAAGCGCATGTTGTGCCAAATATTAAAAAGGACAAAAACGAAAGAAATGAAAAGCGTATTTCAATTAATACGGAGGCCAGCATATAAAGGAAAACTTTGATCACAGAAAAGAGAAGTGCACCCTTGATTTTTTTAAATATATAGTATAAGATTTTACTTTGATTTCTTAATTTTATAATGCATCTTTTATTGCTCTTATTTTATTATTATTAAACGATATTTTTTCCTCATTATTATTTTAAAATGTTAAATTTAACATGTCAGTATTTTTTTTTATGAAACTAACGATATCAAAATTTAAAAAAAAATATTACAAGGCATCTTATAAAATTTGAAAAAAAATAAAAGGATTTTGCGGAAAGTTAAAAGGAGGGAAGATAAACTACTCAATAAGATGAGGAAAAAAAGAGAGGCGGGAGAGCAGGGCTAATTCTATACATGCGCACATAATAATGGCGCAGCCACCATAATTAAAATGTGTATATAACTAAGGGGACTACGTGTCGAGCATGAAGGGGGGTTGTGAAGTTTTGTGAAGGCCCGGCCCGACCTTGAAAGAGGAAAGGGGAATCTCTCTCTCTCTTTCTCTCCCTAGCTAGTCAAAGAAATAACATGATCTTATCATTAGACACCAAACAGCTCATATAATTTATATCCTTGTGAGGGTGGATCCGCAGCTTATTCACCAAAATATTAGCAAGCAGCTGTTTCCCTTCTTTTTTTTAATTCTCTGGCTACTTTATGGTCTTATTAAGCAGAGAAATATTACTCAGAAAAGCTGTGCATTGTGTTTGCTGTTATCACTACGGGAAAAAAAAAAAAAAACCCTTTGGAACATGGGTGGGAGGCTCAATTTTTAATTTAGTTAGGAACAGTTGTTGGTTGGAGATTCCGTACTGTGAATGAGGTGGATAAGTAGCCCTGCAATCATGAGACGAATAATTTTGTGGGGTCGCCGTCCAACACATTCTAATTTTCTCATCTCTTGAAAATCAAATCAAATCACAGTTTCACACTCTCTGCATATGGGTCTGCTATAAATTTAAGCACGCCACCGAACCGTGTGCTTTGCCTGCTGTTGGCACGTAGATTTCACTCGGTGGTTATGCCTAATCAGACATTGATTACTTTTGGAGGATGAAGGTCTAAATATTCCTCCTAGATTAAAAAAGTAATTATCAGTGCATGAATTTAAAGTCCTGATGTGTTATTATATTATCTAATCATTAACAAAATGGATGTGACGGGCTGAATATCTAAAGAAGGATGCACGCATCAAATGCCTTGGAATAATCAGCACATCATATCCCATGCATTATAATATATACTGCTATGTAGCTTGAACCACCACACAAACTAACGAGAATTAAGAAAGCTAAAATCATAATATAGAACCTAGTGTCTTGCAATGTGTATACTAAGAGTAGTAAAAGGAAAGAAAAGATATAGTTTTGGGTGGGCTGGGAAGATAAGCATGGGCAGGGTAAGTAGGTTGGATGGTCCACAATTTGCAGTGTCCTTTTATTTTAGCTTTGGCGGCAAAAGACAAAGGCAGAGGGATTGGCGATCCCTAGGTGAGTTTGCTTCATGCTCGTAAACCGCTTTTCCTTTTATCCTATAAAGTGAGAGTGGTCTAGAGATGGCGATCGATGCTCATCATATTTCTATTGTGTCTACCAATCTTTCCCCTTCTCTCCATTTCAAATCACAAGTCTTTAAAATAACGTTCACACAGCCTTGCACTCTCAGTTCCAGCCTTCCAGGTTCCAAACGCTCTGCTCTTCAAGGCCAGCTGCCATCACTGCTTTTAAAACCTTTTTTAGCCCCATAATGTAACGCTTTTAAATTTTGTGAGAATAATATTAAACCTTGATTGAGCACAAATCTATATTCCGAAGGCATTTCGAATAAACATATACATGCTGCAGTTATGATGATGTAAAATTCAGCAAAATGGATTTGCTTCGGGCCAATTTAAGCTTTTATGCTGTCCCTAACTTTAGGGGGGACAGTATAGAAAGAAGCAAGTTACCTGATAACCCAACAAGCCTTTAGTGGGGGAAGGGGAAATAACAGTCCGGATAACTAATGTATGTACAATAGAATATTGACTCCGTTTAGGAGAACTTGATAAACATAATATATATATATATATATATATCTCTACGCCTCTGGGGCTGTAGTAAACTCCGTCCCCCTTGCCATTTTTCTGCTGGACTTATCTGAATGAGGCGGCCGGTCACTCCAAACTTTTACTAGTCTTAAAATCTCTTGTTCTGTCTTCCTTCGTAGGCGCACTATTCATCAGAACTTATCTGACTCGATCAATATTCCCATTGTTCACTTATTAGCCTACCGAATGTTTTGCGGAGTAGTAATCTCTCTTGAGTAGTTTGATTGGACAAGGAAACCGAGGTTAAAGACACCCAAAATGAGGTCACTGATAAGAAAACGAGTGGTTCATCATAAAGTCCGTCCCGTGTCCTGCCGTCTGCTATTCGGTAACCAAAGGAAACATGTTTATAAGGACCCCGTTATTCTTATTGCGGATACTCCCATCATCTTATACCTATAAAGATCCAAGATTGAAGGAATCAATTAGCATTATTGGCTGGGGTGGCGAGAAAATGAGCACGAATTTCAGAGACAGCCCTGAAATTATGCAGAGTTTAACATCCCCTCGACTGTCCCGGCAATCATCCAAAGCGAGTAGCAAGCATAAGAACCTAGCGGAGGCAGCAAGCCCCGTTCATAGTGGATGCTGCCGAGGTTTCGGTAATGTCAAGACCACGGGACCAACTTTGTCAACCTTGCAATACCAGCAGCAGCTCAACCATTCCAAGAGATTGGAAGGAAAGGTAATGTACTTCAATCCCTCACGCGAACCCATCCCAATAGGACCTCAGAGTTTCAGTGTTGCGTCCAAATTGGACCTGGGATGGCAGGCAGTGTTTAGGCCTGGGTTGGATAGGTAAGCCCAATAAAGTCGTTGGCCTTTTTTGGCCTTTTTTGTCCGTCACGGTCTAGTTCATGAAATGGGTCACAAAGTTGGATATTTTGATTAATTTGGGATAAAATTAATAATGAGCAAGCACGAGGAGATATTTAGCTTGTGGAATTGGAAGTAGGAAGTGCAGGGGAGGGGAGGGAAATTGATCATGAAGTTTTATGTGGTTTTGCAGGTGGCGGATTTGGAGAAAGAAGTGCAGAGGCAGACAGAGCTGCGAGTCATGTATAGGAAAAGGATGGAAAGAACGCAGGACTATCTGAGATACTGCCTCCAAATAGCACAAGAGAACGGCATATTGGACCTCATCACCCACTCCAAAGCCGACCTCCAACAGTCCCCTTTATCGCTCCACACGGTCAACTCCACCGCTAGTCCTCAGATTCGCTCTCCCGTCCGCCGCCGCCAGCACCACCCAGATCTTGCAGCCATCATCGATCAAGCCAAAATCCATGGGTGGTATATTGATCCTCTTGAGGTCAGTACTTAAAGACCGAACTTTCCCATCATCTACTTCGATGAATGGCATTCATTCTCTAACCGCGTTGTACACTTCTGCAGATTCAAATGGAGGAGAAGATAGGACAGGGAACCACGGCAGAGATATATAGGGCAACTTGGAGAGGATATGACGTGGCGGTGAAGTGCTTATCTGCGGAGTTTTTCAGAACAAACGCTCACGGGGTCGTATTTTTCGCTCAAGAGGTAGATACTCTGTCGAGGCAGAGGCACCGGTTTGTGCTTCAGCTGATGGGGGCATGCCTGGACCCTCCCCACCACGCCTGGATGGTGACGGAGCATGTGAGGACCACCCTCAAAGACTGGCTTCACGGCCCCGGCAAGAGACGCAGAGACAGGCAAGTCCCACTTCCTTCCCTCAAAGACAGAGTCATGAGGGCTCTGGAGATCGCTCAGGCCATGCAGTATCTGCATGAACAAAAGCCCAAGGTCATCCACCGTGACCTCAAACCCAGCAACATTTTCTTGGACGACGCCCTCCACGTCAGAATCGCCGATTTCGGCCATGCGCGCTTCTTGGCTGACCAAGAAATGGCCCTCACCGGCGAAACAGGCATGCCTTTCTCTCTCTCGATTGACCTCTTGGTCTGAATAATTTCACCGGTGACTTATTGTGTTCAGGGACGTACGTGTACATGGCACCGGAGGTGATTCGATGCGAGCCTTATAATGAAAAGTGCGACGTATACAGTTTTGGGGTGATACTAAACGAGCTTCTAACCGGAAACTACCCTTATATTGAGACAGACTACAGTCCGACCAAGGTATACTCTGTTTATGATTTGATTAATGTTGATGTTTTGGGAAAAGTAATGATTTAGTTTTGAACGTGAACGAGTGGTAATTAGATCGCAGTGGAAGTGGTGGAGGGGAAGCTGAGGCCGATGGTTGCGGAGGATAGAGAAGGAGAAGTGGAGGAACTGGTTCAAGTGATCAGACTCTGTTGGGATGGAAATCCAACCATGAGACCCTCATTTGCAACCATCGCCACTGCTCTCAAAGCCTACATCAAGGAGGCCTCTTTCAAGTGGCTCATTAGCTAATGTTAGTCTTGTGATCCCACTTTTGTCCCCGTTGTTTTCACTCTGGTTTTTGACTCAATCCATTAAATTTTAGTGGAGCAAGTTAATTTATTATTTTATAAGTTATTAAATACTAATTATCAGATTTGACCCAATAATTCATAATTACATTATTCTTTTATTACTGGGGCGTGGATAGGAGTGGTTTCCTTGTTAACCTGAGGGATAAAGTCATTGTTTTTTCCCATCAATAACAACAATTACTTATTAGGACCCATTTGGTTCAACCTCATTGTATCATGAGGTGAGATGCGGTGCAATATAATGGGAATGCAATGCAATATGAATTACAAGAACAGCATTTGGTATGTTCTTTAAAGAGAGGTGCAATAAGTTAATTTTAATAATTATTTAAAATTAATATACAACAGAAAGACTATTGTATCCTCATTATGCTCATTCATATCATCATCCTCGTTTTTAAACCATGGCGCTTACGTTTCTCTTTTAGGTCTTGTTCCACCATCACAGCTATTTTGCGATACCGATGTGGCATGCCATGATTGAAGGTTTCGTTATTCTAATGATTATTAAATAAATGAGTAAGTTTTGAAGAAAATTATTGGACTGAATCGATTTAAATATGATTAGTTCCTGGAATATGATACCTATCGTCCCACAGGAACTGAGAAAAAATATATTTGCAGAAAGTTTAGATTTTTGTATGAAATTGTATTTTTAATCCAAATTTGCAGACCGTTGATCATATTCACCTATAGGAATTCAATCATAATTTTGCTTGATTTATGGAGCAGGGTTTAGATTCTTGATTTAGAAGGTAGGTTCCATTGAACACTGCTGAATTCACAAAATACACTCTCTTGATAGTGGTGCTTTGATGGGAATGATATCCAGTAAAAAATTGCAGGGACTCATCAGATCTAGAGTGCAAGGAACAATCATCGATTAGGAGGACATCTCATCAAACAGAGTTGCAACTTGTGATGAGGGATTCTGTGGATAAATGAGATTTGTTTTTGAAGGGCAAATATTGTCTTTTCATGTAAGTTATTGTGGACAGAATAGACATTTGCTTGCAATGAGTATTCATAGGTCTCCCTTATGAATAGATATTACCAAAAAACGTGCAATCTTTTTTACTAGTATAATCTTTTTTACCATCATTAAATTCAACCAAGCAAGTCATTTATGGTAATGTAATAAGGATTACCATTGCACACCTACATTAGGGCTGAACCAAACGAGTTCTTTAGTATTAGACTACTAGTGACCACATTGGTTATCCTTGTTTTATTTTAATTAACTTTCAAAAATTCACACTCTATTGATAGCAATAATTTTTATTTAACAAATAATTATCACCCTTAAATTGATCAAGTAATTATGATATTTAAGCAGATTTAACAATCTTCCCTTAGCTGCAATGCGCTGATTGAAGCTAGCTCCGTTAAAGGTATCTTTACGTTGAAAAGGGTAAATTATGAAGGAGGTGGGAATTTTTCACTTGAAGGCAGACTACCCAGATGACTTTTTTATTTTTTTGATGAACCCAGATCACATACTTGGATCCAATATGCTATTGAATATGAAATCGTGCATTTACGGGAAATTATGGGATGGAGATAATAGGACTAATGAAATTTTTGTTGCCAACAATATATAAGACTAATGGAATACTACCTCCAACCTTTAATATTACCTTCAATCTTTAATATAATAGCTCATTTAATTTTTATTTTAATCCTAATTATAATATCCTGATCTATTTTATTTCTCATATTTATCTACTTTTTTAAAATAATTATTGTAATAATAGTAGTTTTATTCGATACACTTGATTTGCAAGGATATTTTAGAAAAGCTAACACTTATTTATTACAAATAACTAATTTAACTAGTTTTTTTAACCTATCCAAATTAGTCAACTAACTCTTATATTAAGGACTAGATATAATATAGGAGTTAGTTTGAATTTCGATTTGATAATAGATATAAGACTCTAATTCATTTTATCTACTATATTTATTTATTTTTTTCAAAATAGTCATTGTAATTGTTACACATATTAAAGATTTCATCAAATAGTAGTACTAGCTTATATACATGATTAGTAAGAATATTCTAAGAAAGACAATATTATTTTATTACAAATAGAAAAGACAACACCTATTTATTATAAATAATTAATTTAATAAATTTTTTAAATTAATCAATTAGTTTTTATAATGAGGACAGGATGTATTATTCCTTATTTTCTTGCATATTATGAATCGCTACAGCAATCATACAAAAATCGACAGACAAATCACTCAAAAATAGGAATTTTGACAGGTGATACTCGCTCTCTTCCCTCTTCTTCTTTTTTTCAAATCGCTAGATTAATGTTTTAATGGTTTGGATTTATACCTTTTCAGAGCTTTTATTAAAATATTAACTGTAAAAATAAATTATAAAGTATATTAAAATTTAATTCTAACGATTTAGCAACTGTACTAAATATTTTTAGTTTTTTATGAACAGTTAAAATTTGAAAGAGTTGAAATATGTTAATTTAATAACTAAAAAACCCGGGGGGGGGGGGAGATGAAAAGGAAAGACGAGTGGTTGGAAACCGAGTGGCCGCTCGTATAAACTCACCGCATCAATAGTTAAAAAACCACAATAATTAAATATATCCAAGGAAAACAACAAAAGGACAAAAAAGGTGACACGCTGTGTTATGAGAAATTTTTACAGATCTGGGTGGTGTAAGAAAGAACTCATACCCCCGTGAGAGATATAAAAAAATAAATAATTATTTGAAAGTAGAAAAAAATAAAACAATTCAAAGTTATTAAATGAAATGAGATATTATTTTCCAGGAAAAAAAATAAATGAAAAATAATTTTTGTAATTCTTACATGTCCGATTGGTAAATAAACTCACCGCTCGTAAAGAAAAATGCTAAGCTCCGATTGTATTGCTTTTGCGATTGAGAAAGCGTTTAGAAAGCTTTAAAAATATTTTTTTAAAATATTTTTTTTATAAATTAAGACAAATTTCTTTATATATCTATATACTGTAAAATTATTTTTAAAATTATAATCTAGTTTTTATCCAAAAACCAGAAACAGGATTAGTTTACGGCAAAAGAAGGGAAAGACAAAAACTAGAGAGACCAGATCAGTTTAAAATTCAGTTTATATAATATATTTTGGTCGAATTTATATATAGGACCGTGTGTGTGGCTTGGCTTTATCAGTCAAATCGAGCTTTCTGCTCCTCGGAATGCAGAACCACCGTTGCTGACTTTTCCATACAGCCTTATCTTTTTTTTTTTTTTTGAGCTGAGTCAGCTGACCATACAGCCTTATCTTGAGGTAAGAAAAAAGCAAAATAGAAAAAAGAAAGAAAAAAAAAACTCCGTTTTTGTCCCCTCCTAACTTTTTATGTAGAAAGAACGTAAAAATCAATAAACTATATGTTCACAATATTCCCTAACCTGCATGAATATTTTAAAATTTATAATTTTACTCATGTCCTTTTTTTTTTATAGCTAACTGATACTAATACTATTGGATGACAATTTAATCTGTAATTAAACCAAATGATGCTTAGATTGACCTGAATCTAATATTATAATATGAGTAAAATCTCACTTCATGTTAAACTCGCATTTTTCCCCGTAATATGCACAAAATCCAAACACAGCTCCGTCGCTATTTCCAGACCGAATGTGCACGGTTTTTTTTAAAAATATACACAGATATATGCATTTCCGGAGGAGACGTATTGACTTGTAGTTTTGTACGATGCACAGGTTGCGGGGCGGGTTGGTGCCAGTGTTCTGGCATCCACCGTGTCATTTTGGCGCTTTTAGCTTGCTGCCTCTGAGGCGTGGCCGGCATTAGTACGTCTTTCACGTTTAGGGAGTGTTTGGATAAAAACAAAACCATAATTTCAGAAGTGCTTTTACAAATTACGAAATAAATATGTGGAAGAGGTTACCTCGTTTTACAAAAAAGTGCTTCTGAAACCATGGTTTTGGAGCAGGCAAACAGAGCCTTAATCTTGAGTAGTCACTCTCTGCAGTCTGCAATCGAAGTCAAAATGCTCTCATAAGCTTTTAAAAAGCCTTGTTCCGAGTCGTCCGTTTTCCGAGTTGAAGGCTTCCGAGTTACGACCATCTTTATCAAACAAGCTGTCCCGCCTTTATGATGTCTTAACATTCAAACCGGTCATTCGTCGTAACCATCTTTTCACGACGATGTGGTCACAGTAACGTTCCCAATACCCGCGTTGCTCCACAAGTTCTTGCTGGTAAGTATTTTGATTTCGGGAATGTAATTTATGCATTTTCTAGTGCTCTTCTGTAATCTGGAGATGGGTAACATTGGTGGGGCAAAGTGGTACTTGCCAAAAGCCTGAAAGGTTTGGTTTTTCTGGGTAAGTTAATTTCTGCGACGCTTCATTTTCACATTTTTGATGTATGCAGGATTCTTGATGGATGCCAAGTATCGAGCTTCCAAAGGCGGTGAAGTGAGCATGACGGAGAAGAAAACAACCAACGAAGGAGAAGTGGTGGTGACTATTCCGGGCCAGCAGAATCCGAATCTGAGTGGAGAGAGTCCAAGCTCCAAAGTGACTGAATCTAACAATACGTCCACGGAGTACGCCGCTAACGGGCATGCCTCCTTAAAGTCCCCAGCTTTAAATCATGCTTCCCCCCAGATAAGGCCCAGTTCCAGCCCAGACAAGTCCCCAGAAGTTTCTGCTACGACCCGAAACCTTGTTCGCAGAAAGTCTCTACAAAGGTCAGTGTATTCCAAGCCTAAATCTAGATTTGTGGAACAACCTTATCCTGCTGACGCGGCAGTTTTAGAAGAGAATGTTCACTCCACACTGCAAGAACAGCTTGCCTTTAGTTCGCCCTATAGGCAGTCGGTCAATGAAGCATCACCCAATAACAAATCCACTGCTGTTAATAGGACAGTGTCCATTAGTTCCGTCACTCCTAAAACTCCATTGATGGCGTCTCCGGGGCCAGCTGGGGAAGATGAGGATGAAATCGTTTACGAGGAAGCTGAACTGAGTAAAGGGAAGCGTAAGAAGGTGAAGGTTAAGGCTTTGATTGAGTGTATTATGCTTGCGTGCATTACGGGATTCTTGGTGGCTAGCCTGAGTGTTGAAAAATTGAAAAACGTAACGATTTGGGGGTTGGGGTTTTGGAAGTGGTGTGTACTTCTGATGGTTACCTTTTGTGGCTTGTTGATTACCAGATGGTTCATGCACATTATAGTTTTCCTGATTGAAATGAACTTTTTACTGAGGAAAAAGGTTCTTTATTTTGTTCATGGACTAAAGAAAAGTGTCCAAGTCTTCATTTGGCTGGGTTTGGTTCTTCTCGCTTGGGTTCTGTTAATCAATCGCGGGGTCCAGCGATCAGAACTTGGCACAAAAATTTTGAATGGTGTAACATGGACTCTTGTTTCTCTTCTAATTGGGTCGTTCTTATGGATGTTGAAGACGTTACTGCTGAAGATATTAGCCTCAAATTTCCATGTCAAATCTTTTTTTGATAGAATTCAAGAATCAATTTTCCATCAGTATGTTTTACAGAGTCTGTCTGGGCCTCCATTAATAGAGGAGGCTGAGAAGGTTGGTAGATCACCGAGTGCTGGCCAGGTTAGTTTCAGGAGTACAAAAGGTGAAAAACGCACAAGGAAGGAGGTTATTAATATGGCAACTTTTCACAAGATGAAACGGGAGAAAGTTTCTGCTTGGACAATGAAGATTTTGGTTGATGCAGTGGCAAATTCGAGGCTGTCCACAATCTCTAATGTGATAGATGAGAGCTTTGATGACGGAGGACTAGAACAAACCGACAAAGAGATTACAAATGAGATGGAAGCAACTGCTGCTGCATATAAGATTTTCAGGAATGTCTCTGCCCCTGGCTGCTCGTAAGAATATTTGCACCCTTTTCGATTCATGTAAACCAATTTGTATCCATTCTGTTTCTCCCTTTTGAATTTCCTATAATATAAAATTCTTAATTATACTAAGGTACATAGATGAAGATGACCTCCTGAGGTTCATGATTAAGGAAGAAGTAGATCTGATCTTTCCCCAATTTGAAGGATCAGAGACTGGACGAATAGACAGAAAGGCTTTGACAAAATGGGTGGTAAGGGATTTTATGTGCCCATATAAACTGTGTTTTGATTATCCAGAATTCAAGTTCCATTTGGCTGGCAAAAGTTCCATTCCTTAATATCTGCGTTATTTAGGTGAATGTCTATCAGGAACGCAAGGCATTGGCACATGCCTTAAGCGACACCAAGACTGCTGTAAAGCAATTGAACAAGCTTGTGACGGGGCTCCTGGTTATTTTGATCATAATTTTGTGGCTTCTACTGATGGAGATTGCAACAACAAAAGTACTGGTGTTCATTTCTTCTCAGCTAGTGGTTGCTACCTTCATGTTTGGAAACACGTGCAAAAATATATTTGAGGCTATCGTATTTGTGTTTGTAATGCATCCATTTGACGTTGGCGACCGATGTGTTGTAGATGGGGTTCAGGTAATTTATTCCTGCCAAATTTTATGCCTTTCTTAGGAATTTGCATATTTATTTTCTTTCTGTAATGTGGCATGGCAGCTATTGGTTGAAGAAATGAACATCCTGACAACGGTGTTCTTGAAACTTAATAATGAGAAGGTGTTCTATCCAAACTCAGTTCTGGCCACAAAACCCATTAGCAATTATTACAGAAGCCCGGACATGGGTGACACTATAGAGTTTTCAATTGACTTTATGACACCATTGGAGAGGATTGGGGCACTGAAGGAAAAAATAAAGAGGTCAGCTTATTCTTACTTTGTATATGCATATACTGACGTTTTATATTCTACTTTCCGCGGAAACTTCAATTCGGCTATACAATTCAATGTAATTTCCATAGGCATGATTGTCGTGCTCACTTTCATCAGTGGTGTTTTGCTTTTTAGGTTGTGGTATCCAAGTTTTTTTTCCCTCGCCTTTTTCATTGACACAGTGTGAACTGAGAAAGACTATATGAATGTTCCTTGAAATGCTTTGCCATGATAGTTTTCTTCTACGATTTGTGATTTCCTCTAAACTCAACGACTGAAGAAGCACAGTATCATATTTTGTTGTTGGCGACAACAGAATAATATCATATTCAAGTATGCCAAACATCTGATGTTGGATTTGATTAAGTTGAAGGATCTGGCATATGTTTGACTGGGACTTCATGAACAGAAAACTGTATTGCATGCATATCTTTCCTTGTTATTGAAAGGATAGGACCTTGCATGACAAAGAAAATGATAGAAACGATATTGTTGCTGTGCCCTGTGTATCTCTATTCTCTAGTGTCATTGTTTGTTTCCCCTTTCGAACTTATTTCTAGTCTCTTTGTTCGTTCAGGTACTTGGAGAGAAATCCGCAACACTGGCATGCTAATCATAACGTAATAGTTAAGGAGATAGAAAATGTGAATAAGATTAAAATAGCTCTGTATGTTAACCACACAATGAATTTTCAAGACTACGCGGAGAAGAACAGGAGGAGAGCAGAACTGGTGATGGAACTAAAGAAAATATTTGAGGATCTTGATATTAGATACAATCTTCTTCCTCAGGCAGTCCATGTCAGTTATGTTGGATCAGATACGGGCCCCCTCAAGTGATAACTCTTCTCATGCTCATTGTTCTGCAAGCATGTGCCTCTGTTTTTCCCCTGCCCCTCATGGCCGCCTTTTAGGTAGGTTTGGTTTAGGATAGTTGGGTGGGGTTTAGTAGATACTAGATAATGTAGGAATGGTGTTTTGATCAAATTGCAGGGTTATGATGCTATTAACTAGCGACTTTATGATGTATATGAATTTCGGAGTATGTCTAGTCCATTTAGGTAGGTGGTACTTGTACATATTAGATATTAATAGGCTTGGAATCCCAAACTTGGTATGCTACCCCACTCATCTTAAATGCATCTCTTCTAGGCGATGGTGGAATGACATCCCCTAGAGTAATTTGGATCCTCTAAAGCCCCTCTGAAGCAGAGTGACATAATTAGTAAATTACTGTGCTTTATGAGGTATTTCACAGTTTTTTAACTTTCACATCTTAATCACTTCGACAGGGCCGCCAAAGTTCCAACTACCATCTGTCTTCTTTTTTCTTTTTTTTTTTTCCAGTTTTACTTTACAACTACTGTCAACATCCCGAGTAAAATGTGCGAGTTATGTGAGTTGATACTTTATATGAGTTGATACTTTAAGAGCAGGTAAATTCAATCTTCAATCCTGTCGAGTTAAGAAGGAAAATTTGTGAAGGGGCGAGAGTGCCTGGAAGTGAATTTATTGATTCAGATATTAGACGGAGGCTGTCTGTGTTCATAAGTTTAGGATTCAAAGAGCACCTTGGTGAAGCGAACACAAACTCCTGAAACCAAATTGACAAAACAATTGCGAATTACTGATTGGTGTTTTAGGGTAAAGTTATCACGCTTGTTGTAAGCTCCAGCTCCATTCATCTGTACATCAATTCCCCCTAGAACCTTAGAGTCGATAAGCCACGCCATGCCCATGCAGAAATCTAGCATCTTCTGTGTACGCATGGGTTTCGTTTCACAGCCTGAAATAACAAAATATGTTAACGCTAATGATTCTGGTATTGTACAGTTTTGGTTCGAGAATCGAAGCTTAATTCTATTTGAGGGAGTAGTTAACGGTAGGGAAATGTTCTTACAATTGTTCTTGGTGGAAGAGCAGTGGAACCAAGAGCCATTAAGATAAAGCAATTCGCCATCTATTCTTTCTCCGATTCTTTTGTCCATTTCCTCAGCCCCGATTAAAAAAGGTTGATCTGAAGCCTGGATTCACATGACACGGATTCAAGGGGACACCAACATGCAACCCACATCTGTCAAATAGAGCAAAGGTTTATAATTGCATACCATACCCCATCCCCAATTATCAGCAAAAGAAGGTACGAGTTGCGAACGGAGTCACGTCTGCATAAAAAAAATGCGAAAGAGGAGCAAGTCCCGAGTTCGATCGGTTCAACCAAAATATACAGAAACGAGAGAAGGCGTGGACGAGAGAGTCCTACGTTTAAAGACCCGTTTGATTGTGTTATATATGGAAGTGAAGGCCTTCTTGTGGGTGAAGATGCCTGCGGGTCCAGCCTGCACAGGGAATTAACAGTAGGTCTCCACAAGATGAGGAAGGGCGTAGTGTTAAAAAGGGGACCTGGGTGACAAAAATGCCATTGGGTTGGAAGATGTTCTGGTAGAAGGATTTAGTATAGAGCTGGTAGCAAGGCCCTCCTTCCACTGGATCCGCCAAGTCTCCAACTATGACATCGTACTTCTCCTTCCTCTCCTCAAATTCTCCCCTTCATCAAAATCAAAATGGAATTCACACATTTTACTCGTAACTGCTTTATTTCAAGACCGACAAAAGGAATACACTAGCGATAGCTTTTGTGGGGAAAATCATAACCGACAAGATATGATCTCTCGACTCCGCTTTCAAGGGATCATATCAAGAAACGTAGGAAATATAATATATTGACACTATTTTGATTAGTTTTGGGAGGAGGGGAGGGGAAGGAAGAAATTTACACAAAACTCTGTGTATTATCTAATTAAGCATATGAGGTTGTGCACATTACATAATTAAGAATGGAATAGTTTAAAACTTGTAGTATAAATTTATTTATAATTTATATAATATGCTAAAGATTATAATATATTTTTTTGATTAACATTTATTTTGATATATGATTATTTATAATCTATTTGTTATGTCTCAAGATATCTGGGTTTTTTCTGAATTCACAAATTAGAAAATAATAATTATGATATAAATATTGTAATAAAAAAATAAAAAAGTTTAAATAAAAAGATAAAGATATATTTGTCAACTTAAAATTAGTTGCCTTCCCTGCTCCTCTTAAACCAAACAAGAAATCTCTCCTCCACTCCCTTCCCCTCCAACCAAATAAAGCTCCTAATCTCCCCTCTCATCCTCTCCCCTTCCCTTAATTCACCTCCCCTCCTCTTCCCTCCATTGAACCAAACAAAGCCTAGAAGTCAAATAGTTTTCCTTGCCCTTCTTTTCCATAAAAGGTTATATATATAATCTCCTTGTTTTGTAAAAGCGGACATTTTAATTTTATATTTTGTTCTCTTTTGAAATTGTCACCATATACTTAAAATTTTTGGTGGAATTTATATATGGCATGGCATTTAAATAATAAGTTATATTACTTCTAATTTTTAAATAGTAAAATATGTCATAAATCCTACTACTATTTTACTATCTATTGATGTCATTTAAAAATTAATATTTTTACCAGATTTTGTATATTATATGCCATACCATTGCATTATGCATACCTAAATCAAAATCGTCACTGGGTCAAAATTGGGGATTTGGATATTAAAGACTAAAAGATAAGAATTAGCGAAGGAAGAGCAATGGGTCTATTTTAGAGTATTCAGCAACTACTTGGAGTCTCGGACACAACAGAAACAAGTCGAACTAGCAAGAATATTTATCCTTTTTATTTCATATTCGTAGCTACCAACAGATAAATATATTATCAATCTATCAACGTCATCAATATATAGAATAAAATTTACAATAAATTTTATTATTATAAGCTATGCCGTTCTTCCGTCTTTATATAATGCATAAAACACACACGCGCATGTTCGTTACAAGCATACTGCAATTTGTGAATCTGATTCCTTACAGTACAGTGTATAGGATGGAGATGTAATTTATATATATATGTGTGTGTACTCTTCCGGTCTTTAATATAGGACCTAATTGTTTAGTTGGTTTTGGTCCTAAATATAAGACTCATTTATCATATTTATCAATTTTTTCTAAATTACCCCTATGGATACTCCCTTAACCATAATCAAGTAGAAGAGGAAGATGGGGTATTAAGAAAAATGATTATGGTGTTTTAGAAAAAATGTGTCATATTTCTTATAATTAACTAACTTACCTAACTTTCTTAATCTAATCAAATTAGTTAAATGAGTCTTATATTAAGGATTGAAGGAGTATATATATCATATTCAGAATGAAAAGACAAAAATCTCTGACAGGCAATATATGAAGACAGAAAATGAGTAAAAAGGGGAGGAAGGATCGGAAAAAGTTACTTGGCATCATTGATGACAAGGTCAAGCTTCTTGTTAGAGAAGCTTCCTCATTCACAGTCACGTATTCACGGCAGAAATCTACCACCTCCTGCAATTCTTCTTTCTGGGTTAAGGAAATATGGATGGAGGAAGATCGTGGAGGGTTATTAAGAATAAATGTAATTAATAAAGGAAGGAACCTGGTCGATATCACACATGACAACTCTCTCTAGTGACTTGTGCTTGAGGGCTTCCCTAGCAGCAGAACCTTCGCCTCCTCCCATTATAAATACTGATTTTGAGCTGTCCCATACACATCAGTCAACTTATCAACATCTTCATTCATTACAATGCCTCTTCACCTTATTTAAAAGCCTTCTAATTAAAGGCCCTTTCACACTATCCCAACGAATATTTTGATATGAAATGAGCACTTCCCCTCTTGTTCTTGTTTTTATGTTTGTCTTTTTTCCCAATATGTTATTGGAGTATATATGATAAGTAAGGAGAGTGAATTGAGCAAGGGAACTTACTGGGGATGACATAAGAGAGCCGGATGAATCAAGCACTCGTGATAAATGAACTCGTCTGATTCAGCACTCTGCTTCTTCCCATCAATCACCAGCGCCTGTGTAATTAAAAGTTAAACAATTTCAGAGTTTAGTTCTAACAAGAGTGGAAACTCAAGAGCACGTGAATGAATAAAAATGAGACCTCCCCCCAACACGCACACACACGCTCATACATACTCCCTGTTAAAGATGTAGTGGTTAATTTTTTATCCCATATAAATTGTTGTCATATTTTCAATTCATGGACAACAATTTGTTGTGATTATTAATTTCATTGAAGAGAAAAATTAGAAAGTCCCTCATTCTTTAATAAGTTCAATTATATTAATTACCACTCTTTGAGAACGTCCGTGAAGCTGGTCAATGTCACCCTACAATTAACATTGAAGCTAAGGGAGGCATTGCATCAAAACATTATATTTTCTAGCTTATCTTGACAAAAATATGTAAGAAAGTCCCCTCACTCAAATTTTAGGATATCATCACAGTCATTGAGATAATATTTGAGGTGTATATTTTTAAAAAATCATGTAAACTTGCCGCTAATTGTTGAGAAAATTTGGGACATGAAATCACGTAAAGCAAAAAAAAAAAAAAAAAATTTAAGTTATGTAATTTATTTGATTGTGAGCGGGCGCAAAAGTTATACGAGAAAATAGAAATATATGGGGTTGACTTTTTTAGAGATGGGTACCAAATCTATTTCCATGAGCTTGGCGTGCATGATTTTATCTCCCTTGTAGGAGACGAGTTTGAAAGGTATCTTTTTGAATATGCGTAGCTCTCGGAGTCTAGGTAATATTGTTGGTCGCTTAATTTACGTTGTCACTTCTCCGTTTCTTTCCCCTTTCATTTTTGAAATTCAAGAGCTCATCTTTAATAGAAATAGATGATGCATTCTTCATGACAGAAAAATAATGTAATTTTTGTAGTCTTTAAAAATGATTACATAAATTAGTTATTATATATATTATTTATAAGTTTTAAATTTGGGTAGATTATGAAAGTTAGTTAAGTTAATTATTCGTAATAAATAAGTGTTATCTTTCTTAGAATACCCTTACTAATAATATGTATTAGCTAGAATTAAAATTTGACAAGTACAATTACTACAAAGATTATATTAAAAAAATTAAATAAATATGAGAAACAAAATAGATTGAAATCTCATATTTAAAACTAAATAAAATATCAAACTAATTTTTATATTATGGACTAGAAGTGGTATTTAAAAATAAAAACATATTTGTTACTGGATTTATGCCTTTAAGTGAAATATAACCATTGATTTCATAAAATCACGATGACCAAACCGGATTCTTTGAAAATGAAGGAATTTTGGCAATTGTGAAGTGGAACAAAATTAATGGGGATGGATGGG